CCCATCACCTGGAATGGAAGGATAATGGCTCAGGTGTATGTTCATCCGAAGGCACTGGACCAAAGAGCATCACAGCTTGGTTCTGGCAACCCCTTGACCGATGTAAACTGGCCAGCAAAAATAAAATAGGACACTCCCTTTGCTTTTGCGCTTGCCCAAGACAAATAATAACCCTCCAGTCTCCAAGCCACAAAGCAAGAGACGATCGGGTTCGGCTTTGTTCCTGGTAATTATGATGCGCGTGGAGGATCTGCCTGGCATTCGCTGCAGCTGCCAAGTGACGGCTCAGGCAGGGGGAATCTCCCTGTCGCCTCTGCAGAAGGGAGGGCGTGAGGATGCAGAGGGGAGTTCACCCAGGGGATTGCTTAGAGTCAGTGGCCCATCTGGAAAAGCAGTTGTGGCCCAGAGGAAAAGCATCGTTTGAGCGAGAGCCTGGCAAATTTATACGGAAAAGGAGACGTTTTCAGGGTGGAACTGCCCAGCTTAAGCCCACGGCCTAGTGGATCTGGCAACCCAGGGTTCCTGATGTCTGCAGCCCCTGGTCCACCTCCCTGAGCCACTTAGGGAAAGCTAAGCGGGATTCCCAAGACCCTACAGACAACGCTCAGCTTTATAGCCATTCTAGAATAGCTGGCACTAATACGGGAAAGGGTCTCAGCTCGGTGGTAGAAAATCAGTTTTGCATGTAGAGAATCATAGAGCCATGGAGATGGGAGGGACCGCAAGGGTCATCTAGTCCAACCCTCTGCAATGCAGGAATCTTTTGCCCAATGTGGGACTTGAACCCGCGACCCTGAGGTTCAGAGTCTCATGCTCTTCTGAATGAGCTATCCCAGCTAGGTAGAAGGCGCCAGGTTCAATGCTGGCATCTCCAGGTAAGGCTCCTTTTTGGCTAGCTCTTCCGAATTGACTTTGGAGCTATCTCCTGAATTTTTTAAGCAAAGCAATGTTGCAAAATAACTAAATATGGATGTATATAAAGCTAAAGGGACCCCTGGCCATTAGGTCCAGTTGTGGCCGACTCTGGGCGCTCATCTTGCTTTACTGGCTGATGTTTGTCTGCAGAGTTTGTCCGGGTCATGTAGCCAGCATGACTAAGCTGCTTCTGGCGAACCAGAGCAGCGCACGGAAACGCCATTTACCTTCCCGCCAGACCGGTACCTTTTTATCTACTTGCACTTTGACGTGCTTTCGAACTGCTAGGTGGGCAGGAGCTGGGACTGAGCAACGCGAGCTCACCTCGTCGCGGGGATTCGAACCGCCGACCTTCTGATTGGTAAGTCCTAGGCTCTGTGGTTTAACCCACAGCGCCACCAACATCCCTATGGATGTATATACATACGTTTAATTCACACACAGAGAGAGAGAGGAAGAGAACCCTGTAGTTTGTAGGGTTCTAGAATTTGTAGCTCTGTGAGGGGAAAACTACAGCTCCCATAGTTCTTTTGGGGAGTTGGTGTTCTTTAAATGCATGGTGTGTGCAGCCCATGTGAATAAGTCCTCCATTGTGTTAGCTTTCTGGAAGAAGAAAAATGCATAGAAAGAAGATGAATAAACTTTGGGCTTAAAAAAAAGAAAAGAATCCCTGGCAGATGGCCACCCAACCGCTGCTTGAAATCGTCCGAGAAGAAAGAGTCCACCACCTTCCGAGGGAGACTGTTCCCATCAAACAGATTTCACCGTCCGAAAGTTACTCCTAACGTTCATTCAGAATCTCTTTTCTTGCAATTCAAATTCATTGGTTTGAGAATACAACAATGAACTTTATGTGCGGCTTCCTTGCGCTTGATCCGGAAGCTACCGTTAGTGCAGAATGCTGCGGCATAATTGCTGCTTGAGCCAAGTTCAAGGTGTTAGTATATAAAGCCCTGAACAGCTTGGAACCAGTTTACATGTAGGGTCACCTTACCTGTATGTGGACATTCAATCTGCAGGACTCACACCATTAAAGGTGCCAAATAATATTTCACCCTTGTAAGAAATCAATCTTTTAGTGTGGCAGAACTCGCACTTGGAACTCCCTGCCGGTTGACATCAGTACCTTCACTGTACAGAGGTACCTTGGTTCTCAAACGCCTTGGTACTCAAACAACTTGGAACCCAAACACTGCAAACCCGGAAGGAAGTGTTCCGGTTTGTGAACTTTTTTCGAAAGCTGAATATGCTCCGTTTTGAGTGTTACGCTTCCGATTTGAGTGCCGCACTTTCATTTTGAGTGTTATGCTGAGGTCTGTCTGTTTTTGCTATTTATTTTGCGTTTTTGTGGCTCTTTTTTGTTGTTTTTGTGACTGCGTGGAACCCAGTTCAGCTACTGATTGACTGTGTGACTGCAGTACATTGATTATTGTTTTCATTTTATGGATCAATGGTCTCGTTAAGATAGTAAAATTCATGTTAAATTGCTATTTTAGGAGTTGTTTTTAAAAGTCTGGAACAGATTAATCCATTTTGCATTATTTTCTATGGGAAAGCGCGCCTTGGTTTTGGAACGCTTTGGTTTTGGAACGGACTTCCGGAACGGATTAAGTTTGAGAACCAAAGTACCACTGCATTTCTTTTGACACCCTGCTGAAAACATTTTTGTTTAGGAAAGCCCAACAAGACACGTAAAATGTCGACAGGTGTTTTTAACCTGGTGTGCTGATTTTTTTTATTTGCGGACTGTTTTAAAGAGCTGATTTTAACCGGTCATTTTGCCCCCCTTTTTTGCTTCTGTAAACCACTTTGATATTTTACGAGAATCAAGCAGTACATAAACCTTGGGGAATGAAAATAAATCTCCTGGAGTTGTAAGTCCAGCAAAACATCTGGAGAACCCCCCCCCCCATTTTAAGAAACAATGCATCAGTCTTGTATTGCCTCTTGACTTGGTCTCCCCTAGAGCAGCGGTTCTCAACCTGTGGGTCCCAAGATGATGTTGGACTACAACTCCCATCATTCCTAGCCAGCATGACCAGTGGTCAGGGATGATGGGAGTTGTAGTCCAACAACATCTGGGGACCCACAGGTTGAGAACCGCTGCCCTAGAGAGTGATGCAGGAAATGAGATTTGCTCCTATATGTGGGATATACTGCTTGCAGCCTTTATTCTTAGCAGAGCCTTCAGTGGGGCCACCCGCTGATCACCCCACAACTGCTTTTTGCCATGCACCATTCTCCCTCTCAGAGCCGTCTTTCCCATTGGTCTTGGTGGTTTGTTGCGCCAGGGCGCAGGCCTCTCAGGGGCGCCCTAGCGAGTGGGGGAGCTGCGTGGCTTGGCACCAGAGGAGTCTCAGTCTGCACCGGATCCTTTGCCTCAGGCATCATCTGAACCAATTCTGGGGCCTGATTCTGAAGAGCCGCAGTCTGCACAGGTTCCCCTGCAACAAACACCAGCTGGGCCGAGTCAGGGGCCTGAGCCTGCCCTGGCTCCAGATGCGGGGATGACCTCGTTGCCTCCAGCTGGGCCATCACTTACAGCTGCTCCACTACCGGCTTGGTCAGGGGAGGCTGAGGTGGCCCCTGGGTCTAGTAACCCACCGACGTCTCCCGAGCTGCAGAGACTGAGGTCTGAGAGAAGGAGAGGCCCGAGTACTCGCAGGAGGAGTGCTCGCCTTCGGGCAAGACAGGGAGGTGAGTCATCAGAGGATCAGGACCGGCCATTACCCTGACAGAGATAAAAGGCTGTCGGACCCCGCCCCAGGTTGCAGGAGCAACATTGCTGTATGCCAGACCCTGCCTGAGATCCTGTACCTGTCCTTGCCTGGTTTCCTGCCTCGTGTCCTGCCTTGGCCCTGTCGGACTGACTCCTAGCGGATCCTACGGATTCTGGACCGGACCTGGACTGCAGTTCTTGGGTTACCCCCAGGCCCAGCACAGCTAAAGATGGCCCTGATCCCGGTCGTTGTCCTCCTTCTGCATCCTGGCGAAAGGCGGCACGCAGCCTTCCCGGACGCCCTGACGCCGGAGAGCATGTCCGCCAGCACGTTTTCTTGCTTGATCACCGCCACCACGCTGGGGATTGGGGCGGTGCGGGAGGCAGAGGACATTTCCCACCACCCCTTCGCTTGTTTTGGAGTTGCATGGCGGGCGCCAGAGGGATCTTTGCTCCCCGGCGCAGGATATGCGTAAGACGGCCCTGCTCCCTCTTGCCGCCATCGAGAAAGCAGGAAGATCAAAGTCGTTCCATGTTCAGGCTTGTAAAATACTTCCAGTTAACGTCTCCCTTCTTCGTGCTTGGAGCTTTTCTCGCTCTGCACAGCAACCTACCTCAAGATCAGGATCAGGAAACCTCAAAACGCATTGAAATCGGCCCTGCAGGGCTCTCTGTGTGGCCCCCGGCACCCCTCGCAAGCCCTGCTTCTCACCCCAAGCACCCTTGCCCATCTTCAATGAGTTCTTGGAATGTACCGTATTTTTCGCTCTATAGGACGCACCCGACCATAGGACACACCTAGTTTTAGAGGGGGAGAACAAGGGGGGGGGGAAATTGTCTCAGCCTCTGTGCAGCGCCCCTTCAGCGAAGCGGCAGGAGAAACGGAGCCCCTTCCATTTCTCCTCCCGCTTCGCTGAAAGGGTGCTGGCAGAGAGGGAAAGCTGCGCAGCGCCTTTCCAGCGAATTGAAGCCAGGAGAGCAAGAGGGATCGGTGCGCATCGACCCCTCTCGCTCTCCAGGCTTCAGCAAAAGCAACGCGAAGCCTCCGGAGCACGGCGGGAGCGCTCCTGCTGCGCTTCGGAGGCTACGCGTTGCTATCGCTGAAGCCATGGAGCCTGCATTCACTCCATAAGACGCACACGCATTTCCCCTTAATTTTTGGAGGGGGAAAAGTGCGTCTTATAGAGCGAAAAATACGGTATTTCCTCCCCACTTTTGCTTCTGGCTCCGCCACCAGTCACACGGCTCTTGGATCGTTGTCCAGATGGGCAATGCAGCCCTCAGATTTCAGGCTGGACACCTTCCCAGGGCCCGGAAGATTTCAATCCCATAAAAATACGGATAATAACCACGCTTCGCCAAGGCGTCACAACATACATCTTTAAATAAGTTCAGCTAACAATCGCTGCACCCAGGAGAGGAGAGAAAGACAGTGGGGTTCCTTCCGTCACATGACCCTGCACGACGTTGGACTACAACTCCCATCAGCTGTAGCCATGCATGGTCCTGGATGATGGGACTTGTAGTCCGGCAACACCTCTGAAGGCTATCTTCTAGTGGGTCCCATCGCCAGATCGCTCCTCGCAAACATGCCGAATCCTGCCCCACCCGCCCCCAATCCCATGATAGGCAAGAAAAGGGGTCACAAAAAGGGGGGATATTTACAACAACGACAAAAAAATCAAAGAAACCCAGTCCAGCTTCAGTTTCCAGAGAGGCACCAGGCCACCCGCACGAAGTCCGTTGCATTAAGAGTCCCAGGCAGTCCACGCAAGGACCAAGGAAGCGCCGGAAGGTTCCGGAGCCCCCCAACCGCTCCTCTGCTGCCCCCTCAGTTGATACGAAGCTTCACTTCTCGGTGGTCCAGGGGGGTGACGACTTCGTTGGTGTAGCCGTTCTCCGAGCACAGAGAAAGCTCGTCCGTCGTCTCGATGCCGCTGTTGATCTCTGAGGAGGAAAGAGAAAGAACGGGGTGTTAGAAGGCAGAGGGGGAAGGATCTTAACAGATGCTGCGGTTAACAAGAGGCAGTGCGGTGTAGTGGTTAGAGTGTCAGACTAGGACCTGGGAGACCAGGGTTCAAATCCTCCCTAATGAAGCCAATCATCCACATGAAGGGTTGTTACAGTTCCAGAGATACCTTTTACAGAGTCTAAGACAAGGATTTCCGGAATATTAGCCTTGTACAGTGGTGCCTCGCAAGACGAAAAGAATCCGTTCCGCGAGTCTCTTCGTCTTGCGGTTTTTCGTCTTGCGAAGCAAGCCCATTAGTGGCTTAGCGGATTAGCGGCTTAGCAGATCAGCCGTTAAGCGGCTTAGCGGATCAGCTGTTAAGCGGCTTAGCGGATCAGCTGATAAGCGGCTTAGCGATCAGCCGTTAAGCGGCTTAGCGGATCAGCTGATAAGCGGCTTAGTGGCTTGGGGAAAAGGGGGGGGGAGGAAAAAACCCTGCAGGAACTCGCAAGACATTTTCGTCTTGCGAAGCAAGCCCATAGGAAATTCGTTTTGCGAAGCACCTCCAAAACGGAAAACCCTTTCGTCTAGCGGGTTTTCCGTCTTGCAAGGCATTTGTCTTGCGGGGCACCACTGTATCACTATCCTAGGCTTCATCAGTAGAACAGGCTCCTATGTAATATTATAGGATAGTGATCTTATAGCAACCACTACTATGCTATAAGATCCACTATCCTATAATATTACATATTGTCTTAGACTCTGTGAAAGGATTCTGTGGAACTGTAACAACCCTTTGTGTGGATTATTAGACTCTTTGAAGAGACAGGTGGAATAGACACTAATAATAATAATAATAATAATAATAATAATAATAATAATAATAAAATTTATTTATACCACCCCCTCCCCAGCCAAGACCAGGCTCAGGGCGGTTAACACCAAATATAAAAACAATTGATTGAAATACAGCTTAAAAAAACAAGATTAAAATACATAAAAAAATTAAAATGCAACCTCATTTCATTGAAAACTCAATCAAAAACTTTTTGGGGGATAAAAACGTCAAGTCTTCACCAAGGCTAACTATCCAGACTGGTCCTACATGGGCCAGAAAAAAGCCAGGGAAGTCCCCAAATAGGAGTTCCATCACAGAAGGAGAAAGGAAAAAAGAAAGAGGGGGAGGGAATCAAATTGATGTATAAATACTTCTACATGTATGGACCTTATGCATGAACTGACTAGAGAATGAACTGATCCACTGGGTCTTCTGCATTTTTCATTGAACTTTCTGAGACTTCCGCTGAAATCTGCCATTTGATACAATGAATAGTATACCTTATTTATTCAAAAGTACATTACTATTTAAAGCAGCGACTCTGGAAAACCTTGGGCTGGGTCTGTAATGTTTAAAAAAGACTTAACCTTAGCCGCATGACAATGAATTTGTGGCGAGACTCGAATTGAAGACCCGAAGAAGAGCAAGACACCCACAGGAAGTTACTTCTCCGCCGCAGATCAAGTTATAGCTGTGTGGAATCCAGCCTCGAATTGCCTCACCTGAGAAGATGAGTTTCTCCTTCATGATGTTGACATCCCGGCTGGACCTTCGGACAGCAGCGCTGAGCATGATCTGTTCAGGGTTGTAGCTGTGGATGCTGCCCATTCGCCACCTGAAACGGACAAGGAGAATGTCGGGAACCGAACTTTTCATGCGCCCGACCAGGTTTCCAGGCAAGGAGCTCACAATCCATGGGCTCTCAAACTCATGAGGAAGCAACTCTGCGCTATTCTCCTAGCACAGCGACAGAGAACTCGTTTTCCTTCTGTCTTGAAACTCTGCAAGCCGGCCTGACCGTCTCAGGGGCGGCTCACAGAATAAAAACAAGTAAATAATTATAAAAACAGAAATACAATAGCCTCCCCACCTTTCCACAGACACGTTTTAAAGGCTGTAGAATATGAATCAGCCCAAGGCCTAGTTGAAGAGAAATGTTTTCGCCAGGCACCTAAAAAAATACTGTATTTTTCGCCCCATAATACGCACCTGACCGTAAGACGCACCTAGTTTTTAGAGGAAAACAAGAAAAAAATATTCTGAACGAAACAGTGGACGTGTGATTTTTGTGGTTCATGCTGTGGCCACAGACATGATATGTGATTTGAAGGTGAGTTTGGAGTAGCCCAATGCAAAAATCCTGAGGATCCATGTGGATCCATGCTTTGTAACCACGTTTTTGCGCCATTGCGGCCCCATGAAACAGTGGATGTGTGTGTCTTTTTGGTGTTTTTTTGGCTGTAGCCATGGACATGCTATGTGATCTGATGGTGAATTTGGGGTGACCCAATGCAAAAATCCTGAGGATCCATGGGCTTTCACCTCCCCTCTCCCAGGCAGCCTCCTTTATCTCTAGCGTCCCTTATCTCCCTCTGATCGCTTGCCAATCAGCTGCTCAGCGGCTTCCTTTCAATACCCCTTCCCTCTTTCTTAAAAAAAAAAAAAGCACGATCTGCTTTTTGCCCCTGGGCAACTCAGCTCCAGGGACCACGAATTTGCTCCATAAGACGCACAGACATTTCCCCTTACGTTTTAGGAGGAAAAAAGTGTGTGTGTTATGGAGTGAAAAATACGGTATGTAATGAAGGCACCGGGCGAACTTCCCTGGGGAGAGCATTCCACAAGCAGGGAGCTGATAAATAAGAATGCAATAAAAATAAGATAATAACGCAATGAAATCCAAAACAGCAACCATTAACAGCACATTTATTGAAAAACCAATTAATGCTATTTAGTTTAATTGATCTAACAAAACTGATGAACTCCCCCCACTTAAAGAGCGCAGGACTGCCATGCCTCAAGGACTGCCTCTCTGCATAGGAACTGACCCAGACCCTGAAATCATCCTTTGGGGTCCTTCTTCGTGTGCCCCCAACACGAGGGGTCCAGAGGATGGCAATTTGAGAACGGGCCTTTTCTGCAGAGCCAAGCACAGATTCAGTGGCTGGGCTCCTCTCAAATTGGAGCGGGGGGGGGGAATTAGTGGGAAGGGGCCGCAATTCTGAATTTATTGTTACTCACGTTTTATACTGTATTTTATGCTGTTTTTTGTTGCATCAGTTAAGTGTTTTAAATTTGTTGTTAGCCCCCCTGAGCCTGGTTTTTTGAACCGGGAAGGGTGGGGTATAAATAAAAAATGATTATGATTTATGAACATGCTTTCAATGGAAATATGAGAAAGGACTGGAGGTTAGCAAAAGTATAGCAAAAGGAGGCAGCTGCTCAGTGGCCAACCACCCCCCCCCCTCTCCAGCAAAGCAAAAAAAAGGTGTGATGAGCAGGATTCGACCTCAGGTCTACTGGGAGGGGTGATGCTAAGCAAAACAGGCACAGGCAACTTAATCCGACCAAGGGGAACAGGAGTCGGAGCGAGTTTGAATTTTCCAGTTAATCATTTCTGGCTCTTTTGAGTCTGACACAAAGCGCGAGAGCCCTTGGCTTCTCAAATTACCACTTAAAGCAGCGACTTTGCAAAAACCTTGGGCCGGATCTGCGATGTTTTAAAAAACCCGATCCGTTTATTTATTTATTTTAAATCAAGCCATCTAAAAAAGGTGACCCTGATTGATTGATTGATTGATCGATCGATCGATCAATCAATCAATCAATCAATCAATCAGATTGTTAGTGTGTGTGTGTGCGCGCGCACACACACACACATATTAAATCAAATTAATAAAATTAATAAAATAAAATCATATATAAAGGGGAGCCTCACTTAAGCTTGTGTTTGTCATCTGCACTTTTTAAAAGTGCCTCCAACACACACACACACACACACACACACACCCCACAAAATATCAAATACATACGTAAGATTAAATACGAACACCAAAACCACAAACAAAGCAGCCACACCCCACCCCAATTTCGTCTTCGTTGCACCTCCTAGTGGTCATTTAAATCACCCACCTAAGACCACCAATGGATGCGATTTCAACAGGCCTGTGTGCTAACATCAGGTCTGCTGCCAAATCAATACAAAAATAGAGGAGTCGGCATTTTGCTCCAGGCCATCTTCTATCCCACCCCAAGGGGACCCTGAAACCAAAAGGCCCTCTTGCTGGGAGAATGGGCTGCAGTGCTTCTGGAATGAGAAGCTTGCAAGCAATTTTGCATTTACAACTCCCCTTCCAATAATAATAATAATAATAATAATAATAATAATAATAATAATAATAATTGTACCCCGCCCATCTGGCTGGGTCTTCCTACATCAGGGGCAGGTAACCAGTGGCTCTCTAGACGTCAAACTACAATTCCCATCAGCCCATGGTCAGGAATGATGGGAGTTGTGGTTCAGGTAGTACAGTGGTACATTGGTTCTCAAACGCTGAAAACCCAGAAGTAAGTTTTCCGGTTTTCGGACATTTTTCGGAAGCCAAACTTCCAATGCGGTTGTCGGCTATTGTTTCCAGGGTGCCTGCACCAATCAGAAGCTGCGCCTTGGTTTTCGAACATTTCAGAAGTCAAACGGACTTCCGGAACGGATTAAGTCTGGCGCTTTTGTTTTTGCTGTTTATATTGCGTTTTTGTTTTTGAGGCTTTTTCGGTTCATTTGCTTTTGTGACTGTGTGGAACCCAGTTCATCTACTGATTGATTGATTGATTGATTGATTGCGCAAATGGATAAAAGCCCCTTATCCAAACAACGACTATCATCAGTGCAGGTAAGAAAAAATAATAATTTTTATTTTTATCATCTACAATACTGTCTTATTTATTTTATAGTACAGTACATTGATTAGCGCTTTCATTTTACAGATCAATGGTCTCGTGAGAGACTAAAATTCATGTTCAATTGCTGTTTTATGGGTTGTTTTTAAAAGTCTGGTATGGATTAACCCATTTTGCATTGCTTTCTATGGGAAAGCGTGCCTTGGTTTTGGAACGCTTTGGTTTTGGAACGGATTAAGTTTGAGAACCAAGGTACCACTATTTGTGGAGACCCGCAGGTTACAGATACCCTGCTCCCGACATTTTATTGCATTTTGTTTTCTTTTTTAAATTTGTAGAGAGTCCTATACCCGCAGGTCTCCAAGAGGTTCACAACGTAACCATAGGCGCCGACTCCATGGGGCTTGAGGGGGCCCGAGCCCCCTCAAAAATTCGTTTGGGGGGGCTCTGCCCCCCCAATAATCTCCGGCGCCCCTCCAGCAGAGCGCCATCGCCGCCCCTCCCCCAGCCCAAAATGCACAGGGAGGGGCGGGCTGCATGCCTCCTGCCCTCCCTCCCGAGCAAAAGCTCCACCCAATTTCCTTTGGAGCTGATTAATAGGCGCAGCACGCTCTCCCCTATTCGCTCACGAGGAGGTGGCGCCACTTTATTTGCATATTCATGAGCTTATTTATTATTCATGAGCTTTCCCGGGCCCCCCCAATATTTTTTATAAGTCCACGTCCCTGAACGTAACACCACAAAATAAAAACACAGAATAAGTTTGGCCTGGCGCGGTCACGCCCAGGGAGGTACAAAAGGCTCGCAAGTCCCCAAATTTAGCAGAAACCCAGTATGATGACCAGCACCCGGGGTTAGGTCCAACACATACGCCCTCTCCCCTCCCCTCCGCCACAAACCATCGCCGTGGTGCGCAGGCTTCCTTGTGCAAAGACGCCAATTGCGCACGCACACACCCGCGTCAAATGCAGCCCTCGGAAAGCCAAAGGGAGTTGCTCTTCGTAAAAGGGGAGGAGAGAGAGAGGGTCAGGAAAGGAGGAGGAGGAGGAGGAGACGCTGAGCTGATAAAAGCACGGACGTGTGCGGAAGCAGCCGGGATGAATGACGGAGGAAGATGACATCAGCCAAAGCGCTTCTTCTTACTTCCTGCGGTCGCTGCTTTTCCCGCAAAGTCAAAAAGATAAATAATTACAGTGGTACCTCGGGTTAAGTACTTAATTCATTCCGGAGGTCCGTTCTTAACCTGAAACTGTTCTGAACCTGAAGCACCACTTTAGCTAATGGGGCCTCCTGCTGCCACCGCGTCGCCGGAGCACAATTTCTGTTACCATCCTGAAGCAAAGTTCTTAACCTGAAGCACTATTTCTGGGTTAGCGGAGACTGTAACCTGAAGCGTATGTAACCCGAGGTACCACTGTACCTGACATTCAGAAGACATCTGAAGGCAGCCGTGTTCAGGGAAGTTTAACGTGTGACATTTTAGCGTATTTTTTGTCTTTGTGGGAAGCCGCCCAGAGTGGCTGGGGAAACCAAGCCAGATGGGCGGGGTACAAATAATAAATTATTATCATATTATTATAAAGTTTCCCAGGCCAAAGAAGAAGAGACCTGTAGCCTCTTCTCCCAGCGGTTGACCAGATGTCTGGGGAAACCGGGGAGCAGGATTTGAGAAGCACTCTCCCCACCCACGAGATCGCTTTATGGGACACAGGTGGCACTGGGGTCTCAACCACTGAGCCTCTTGGGCTTGTCGATCGGAAGGTCGGCGGTTCGAATCCCCGCAATGGGATGAGCTCCCGTTGTTCTGCCCCAGCTCCTGCCAACCTAGCAGTTGGAAAGCACACCGGTGCAAGTAGATAAATAGGTACCGCCGTGGCGGGAAGGTAAACGGCGTTTCCGTGCGCTCTGGTTTCCGTCACGGCATCCCGTTATGCCGGAAGCGGTTTAGTCCTGCTGGCCGCAAGACCCGGAAAGCTGTCTGTGGACAAACGCCGGCTCCCTCGGCCTGAAAGTGAGATGAGCGCTGCAACCCCATAGTCACCTTTGACTGGACTTAACCGTCCAGGGGTCCTTTACCATTACACCACGGCAGAATTGGCACAACCGCAGGCACCACAAACCACCAGTTCTGCATTGGTGAGAACGCATCGGTTTAGTGAACTTTGGAACTCCCTGCCTTCTCCGCAGTCTATTCGTCGCCTGCTACAAGCATTTTTGTTCGGACGTGCCCACTCAGATTCTTAGGAAGCCAAGGTGATTTTAATCTGATTCAGTATTTTAACTTTAACTGTAGGGCTGTGCCTTCTTCTCGATTTCACGGCTTTATCTTCTTGCAACCACTTTGAGGTTTGCCTTTTTTTTTTTTTGTAATGACCTGCAGTTTCCAGCAGCTGAGATTCAGGCACATTCCTGCCTCTGACCGCAGAGAGAGAGTGCTGTCTCTCATCACAGCCACCGATAATAATAACATATAATAATAATAATTTATTATTTATACCCCGCCCATGTGGCTGGGCTTCCCCAGCCACTCTGGGCAGCTTCCAAAAAAATATTAAAATACTGTAATAGCCCTCTCCTCTGTGAATTTGGCTAATCCTTTTTAAAATCATGTGGGTTGATCGCTTCTTAAGCCTGCTGTGGAAGTGAGTCCCACAGTTTAAAATCTGGGCTGTAGGAAGAAGTGCTTTCTTTCATGTGTTTCCAGAATGCTCAGCTTTGCCGGAGGGCCTCGAGTTCGAGAGAGGGAGGAAAGCTTGTCTCTGTTTTCTCCGAGCCAAGCATAATTGTACAAAGTACAAAAGCGCTGCACGCTCGCTGTGTGCCTTCGGCGCATGGAAAAGCTGTTCCTTGCAGAGAAAAAGTGGAAGAAGGGGGAAGGGGGAACCCCAGAAAGTTCAGAACCCATCTAGAGGTAATACATGCACAACGCACACACATATTTTCATGTGTGCCTCTTTCTGGAGGGATCCAGTGGAACCTGCAACCTTCCCCCTTGCTCCCCCAAGCAATATCCCACATGGCGGATCTACACATCGTTTCCAGGCTGTCTTCCAATACAGAATGCACAGTGGAGGAAAGCCAAGGCAGGGATTCGAATCCTGCTCAGGCCTACGATCGCTTTGGTTATTCCATGAAAACACTGATAATGCACAGAAATTATATATATTTTTTTAAAAAGAAAAGAAATTTTTGTTTTTTTAAAAAAATGGGAAAGGCAGAGACAGACCAATGAGAATGGTTCTCCGTAACACAACCAAACGTTGCAGGAAGATAATGTGTGGAGGCGGAAGGCTTGGGTAAACAACGAAAACGAGGAATTGGGGCTTGGCTGCAAAAATGGGGTGGGGTGGGTGGGGGGCAGGTTTCAAATGCTCGCCAGAAGAGAAGAAAAACGACCGCAGGGGCCAATTGGAAAAATGAGAATGGGTTGAGGACGTAGAGGCAGCCTCCATTTCAGCAGAATGTGGCCGAGAAGAGAAACCTCAGCTGCTCACGGTGCAGTCACATGAAAAGGCCCTGGCTCTGGTTGAGGCTACTCTGACTTCCTTAGGGACCTCTAGGGTGTTGCTATTTATGGACCTGAAGGTCCTCTGTGGGGCAGACCAGGAAGGAGGAAGCTCGCTGGGTGCTACCTTGGGCCAGTCGCTGCCTCTCAGCCCAAGCTACCTCGCAGAGCCGTTGTTGGGATTAAATGAGGAGGCGGTTTAAATGAGGAACCACCTTGAGATCCTTGGAGGAAAAAAGGTGGAATATACTGCCTCCCTCGGAAATGGTGATGAGCTCTCCTTCCTTGGAGGTTTTTAAGCAGAGGTTGGACGGCCATCTGTCATGAAGATTCCTGCATTGCAGCGGGTTGGACTAGATGACCCCCATGGGTCCCTTCCAACTCTCTATTATTTTATACATGCATTAAATAAAGAAATAGGACACATTTCAGGGGTTGCCATTGTCAGGGACGCTTGGAGTTTTGCAAACCGAGGCTGCCGAATGCACTCAGATCCCAGTCCCGCGGGCAGGAAAATCCCCGCGTCATACGTTTCGTGAGCCGGACGGTCGTTCTTTCTGGGGTTTTTGACTTTTAACTTCTAGAGGGTTTCTTCTGGAAACGACCCTGCTTTTTAACCCAATTTTGCAGCGGTGCTTTTTGGTTTGTTTGTTTTTTGAGGGAGGTGGGAAGGAAGGAAGGAAGGAAGGAAGGAAGGAAGGAAGGAAGGAAGGAAGGAAGGAAGGAAGGAAGGAAGGAAACAGACGAAAGGTGGGATGAGGAAGAAGGCATCAGAAATTACCTGATTATGTGATAGCTGTAAAGATGCCAAAATGCAGCAGCAGAGAGAGCGAGAAAGAAAGAGAGAGAGAGAAAGGAGGAACATGCAACAAGGTCAGAGCAGTAAGAAAAATAAACCAAGGAGGAATAGGGCACCTCCTTCGAGTCCATCATTCCTCCCCAGGGAGCAAAACTACCAATGCAGTGTCAGGGCAAAGGAGATTTAACTGCTGGTGTAGAAGACTCAGAATCCGTCCCATTGGGTCTCTGGGCCAATCCCCTCTCGTCCAACTAGCTGCAAAAAACTGGGAGAAGACGTTCTACCCCAACCCCAGGTGAGAGTGTGTCAGATACCTGCATCCCTTCAGATGTTGCTAGACTACAACTCCCATCATCCCTGGCCACCTTGGGGTCCAAAAAACACCCGTGGGGCTTCCGCACCCCTGACCTAGGGTACCCTGCGGGGATATTGCTTGCCCAAACTTTGCTCGAAAAGGGGTTGTGGGAGAGGATTCTAGTCAGCGAACTGCCCTCAGATCCTCTCTTGGAATTCGCAGCTGGAAAACAATTCTCTCCTCTCCTACTAGACGGGAGGGTGGAAAAATGGCTGCCCTCTCTTCTTTCAAAGCATCTAAGAATTTTGCCTATGTTTCCTCCTTCCCCTCACTCTGTGGATCTTTAGGATGTTACTTCTACACTGGATTTGAAGGCTAAGGATCAGCAGCTAGAAACCCGCAGGGCCAAATCTGCCCCGCTGCTGTGGAAGTGGGAAAAGCGTAATTTGCCGCAACACAACCTGGCAGTGGGTTATTTTAAGGTGCCCGGATTTTGGTGCCGGCCTGCTGTTCTTTGGGACCTTCCTGAAGTCAACCTCTGAGTAAACCAGCAGCTGAGCAGAGCCTTCATCTTGGCTTTTCTCTCCTCTGAGTTCTTTCTGACTAGATGCCCGGGACTCCAACACAGCATCTTTTACAGGCTTACTGTGACTTCCCAGGCCTCAAGAATTATGTAGGAAAACAGCAGCGTGCCAGGCATCACGCTAACTAATCCTGACCCCCTCGTTAAGTCCTTGCTCAGCCGTGAACTCACTACAACTAATCTGGGGGACCCCTTGACCTCCGTCTAAATCTCACTCCGGAGCCCAGGACGGACCATCCCGAAAGATTTATTTAGAGAGGCACATGGTTTCGCTCCTGCCGGATCACCTCAGCAATGATGGAGCAGACAGCATGTGAAATAATAACAATTTAAATCCCTGCATGTAGAAAACTGGTGTGTCAGGGAGTGGGCTAAGAAGCCTGACGTGCTAGCTTTCTACATGTGGGGGAGATTCAGAAACCAGGGCCTTTCCAAACAAAACATCTTAGAGGCGCTGCATGCCAACTCCCTCCCTCAACGTTTTCGGGTGGCGTCTTGGTTACAGATGTGGCGTGGTGCCTACTTCCTTTGTGCCCTACCACCCTGGAGATGTAATAATTGAGCAGGAGAAAAGGGCCTGGCAATTTCTCCCTGCTACAAGGTCTTTCCCCATTCAACCCTTGCACTCTCGATCTACTTACAGGACTAGGGTGGCACAGGGTGGCACCTCAAAGGAGCGCCAGCCACATTGCTCCTGTGTTGTAGGAAATGGGTCAACCTCTAAAGGGTTGCTGAAAAGATTCCACTGCCCTTAAAGGGGCCTTTTCGGACATGGGTTTGTTGTTGTTGTTTTGCGGGGGGGGGGGGCAAAAAATAACTCTGCAAAACCACTGCCCCCAGCTACTTACTTCTGGAATATAAAAACTCCTACGATTACGACGAACGAAACGAGGTCGGCGGTTATCCAGATGAGATTGTATTCGTCCGGAGACTGGAAGAGGGGAAAAAGAGGAGACAAGGATGCAGTTGGCTTAACGCAATAATTAAAATAATATTTCTCAATGTGGGGATGCAGAGTTCTAGGTTCAGATATATTTGAGACATTTATTAGCAGGCAATGAAGTCAGTTCTCTCGGTGACGCAAGAAAACAGATAAGATAATGGCAGCATGGCAGCAATGTAAACACGTACAAAGGGGGTGCAATAACATAAATAGGGGCAAAAATTAAAACTGCATGAAACTCTCTCATCGGAGAGCTTCCTTCTTCCCCCTGGTGGCTTCCAATGTTTCCACTACAATACTCATCTGGATTTGGCTAACTGGCCCCTGTAACCGTAAGGGAACTTTAACAACCTGGCAGTTAAAACGGAAAGCCATCTTCTGCGTCCAGGGCAGGCTTTTCATTTTAACTGTCCTTTCGAAGGACCAGGTGCGCAGCCTGGGAGTCATTCTGGACTCACAGCTGTCTATGGAGGCACAGGTCAACTCTGTGTCCAGGGCAGCTGCTTACCAGCTCCATCTGGTAGGCAGGATGAGACCCTCCCTGCCTGTGGACTGTCTTGCCAGAGTGGCACATGCTCTGGTTATCTCCCGCTTGGACTACTGCCATGCGCTCTATGTGGGGCTACCTTTGAAGGTGACCCGGAAACTACAACTAATCCAGAATGCGGCAGCTAGACTGGTGACTGGGAGTGGCTGCTGAGACCATATAACACAGGTACCAAAAAACCTACATTGGCTCCCAGTACGTTTCCGGGCACAATTCAAAGTGTTGGTGTTGACCTTGAAAGCCCTAAATGGCCTCGGACCAGTATACCTGAAGGAGCGTCTTCACCCACATCATTCTACCCGGACACTGAGGTCCAGCTCCGAGGGCCTTCTGGCAGTTCCATCCCTGCAAGAAGTGAGGCTACAGGGAACTAGGCAAAGGGCCTTCTTGGTAGTGGCACCCTCCCTGTGGAACGCCCTCCCATCAGATGTTAAGGAAATAAACAACTACCTGAATTTTAGAAGACATCTGAAGGCAGCCCTGTTTTAGGGAGGTTTTTAATCTTTGATGTTTTATTCTGTTTTTAATCTGTTGGGAGCTGCACAGAGGCTGGGGAAAGCCTGGATGAGTGAGTATAAATAAATTATTATTATTATTATTATTATTGTTGTTGTTGTTTTGTTGTTGTTGTTGTTATTCCTTCTCTTACAGTAACACCAGGAGCGAAGCAGCTTCGAAAACCGTGACCTTAATTCACAGTTCTAAAACAAAAGGACAAGGGGGGTTTATGCCATGGAATCTAGACCCCAAGAGGTCTCCTGTTGCTCCAAATATCCTTCAAAATTCATTTTTAAAACAGGAAACTTTTTAAAGCAAATTTTTGAAGCCAAACAAATAGCGGCCCTCAAGTCCCCCCAAATATTTCCATATCTATATCTATTGATCAATCAATATATATGATCATTCCCCTAGGTTTCCAGCTGCATTGCCAAAAGGTTTTCATAACTCCCTACCCAATATTTGCTTTTTCAAAAAAGGGCCATGCTCAGTTTTACACTTTGACCACGTCTATTTTGACACTCAGGCACCAGAGTATTGGCCACAGGTCAAGTCAGCCCTTGGTCAGGAGAACCACCCCGATCCAAAGCTTTAGTTTATTAATCTACCAAACTAAGCCTGCGCATGAATTAAGTTCTTCAGTGTATCTGAAGCATAGGCGCCGACTCCATGGGGCCTGAGGGGGCCTGAGCCCCCTCAAAAATTCGTTTGGGGGGGCTCCGCCCCCCCAATAATTTGAGAAAATTATTAAGACTCTACTCCCTGGAAGAGAGGGGAGTGGTTGTGGGCGGGAGCCCGAGCTCCGCCTCCTGGCCGGGGGCCTTAGCCCCCGCCCCTCCTCACCTGGGCTGGCACCCACGCCCACCGGAGGCAGCCAACCAGGTGTCTCCGGTGGGCGTGTTTAGCAGCTTAATGCTGCGGGGGGGCAGCTCCGCCTCCTCCTCCGTCGTCGTTCCCAGCAGCGACGACCACGTGGATCTGACTAAGAAGAGAAGCTTTAACAGAGAAGTTTTGCCTGACCTTTTCTCTACGATAGTTGATTTGGGAGGGTTGAGTGCCTCTGTGTGTGCAAGTGGAGTGTGTGTGTGTTGATTTGCTCTATCTGGGGAGTCTCTTTGTACATCCCATCTAGCCTCCTTGTTTAGCTAATTTGGAGTGTGTGTGTGTGTCTTCAACGTTGCTGCGCTGTTTGGGGAAAAAAGCGGGGGAGCTTTCACTGCTACGTTTTTGTGGGTGCTAATTCTACTCTGCTAGTATTACCCCTCTTACTGCTAAAGGCTTTCCTTAATTGGAGAGTCTGTGGGTTTGCAGAAGCGATTGTTTAAATCTGTGGGGTGTGTCCTGAGGACTGTGTGTGGATATATTGAGTGTTTGTGCGATTGCAGAAACGCTTTACTTTGAATCTGCTGGTGTGTGTGCAGAGTTCGTGGGGGGGGGGGTATATTTGCCCACCGGGTCTGTGTGTACCTCCGGAAGTTTTTCCCTTCCCGGAAGCAATGCTTGTCTCTTTAAACTGCTCCTCAAGCTGCTGATTTTGAGCGGTCTTAGCATTGGTTGGGGGTGCAGGCATTGAAATTGTGCTTAAAATGGCTGAAGGTGGGCATCTCTTTGCAGACATTAAATTGAGGCTGCTTACCTTACACGGACCCAAGCCTCCATTGTCCTTCAAACCCCTTGTGTCTCTCTCCGTGCTTTGTTTACCCCCACAGGCACCCTCCGCCCCCATCGTGGCTCCCTCCTGACTCTGATTTCCCTTACCAACCCCCTCCCCCCCTTATGGTTGCTGGCTGTGCCTTTAATTTATAGTTTTACCCTTCCCCATGCTGTGGCTCCCTTCTGGCTCATATTGACCTTCCGTCCTATTGTTGTCGGTTGTGCCTTTATTTTATAGTTTTATTTGCCTTGCATTTATCGTTATATTAGCTGTTTTCAGCATTTGTCTTACTTGGGAGACTCAGTCACCCCCCCATTATCCTTCGCCCTCCACTCCCCCCCTCCCCCCCAATAATTTAAGAAAATTATTAGTTATATTATGCTTTGTAAAATCACAAAATTATGTTGGTATTTTTTATTTTCCTTGTTTGACGATAGTTACCTTTTAAAATACATTCAGTAATGAGTTAAAACAAATAATTATTACGGTAGTAAGCAGGTTAACTGAAAAGAGTGGTGTGAATCATGATAGTGTTACGGTGCTGCGGGCACACTTAGAATTTGTCCCGGTGCGCGAACCTTCGTGTAAAGTCTGGCGGGCCAGCGCTGCGGCCGCGGCGACATCAAAAGGACTGGAGCAGAAGCGCCTGGAATCCTCCACCTCGCGTCGCCTTGACGCTTCGAGACATTACGACGCCGCGGCTATATAAAGCCCACCCTGCTGGCGCAGTCATTCAGTGTGGATAGTTTCGTTCAGTGCATGCTGCAGACGTGTTTAGCGTTCCGACTTTAGTGTTTACTTTTAAAAAAACTTTAAAACTCACTAATTTTCATCTAAAATTTAGAAAACTTCCTGGGGCAGGACCCCGGTATGGGCCCCCCCAATATTTTTTATAAGTCGGCGCCCCTGATCTGAAGAAGTGTGCATGCACACGAAAGCTCATACCAAGAACTAACTTAGTTGGTCTTTAAGGTGCTACTGGAAGGAATTTTTTTGTTTTGACCATGAATTAAGAGTAAGCGCTTTCGCGACCACTAGATGGTGTCCTGGGCCACTAAACTGGGAGCTGCAGCAGCAGAAGTTGCAAGCACTGTCAATTTGCTTTTCCCCTTTAATCAACGAATGGATTTGACCCGAGTAGAGGTTTATCCCCTTTCTCTTTCAGTAATAAGAAGTATAATCGTGCGCATGTGTGTCCGAGCAAGAAGATAACCCCAGGTAAGCCCTGTATGAACCACAGCCTCCTCTATGAAGTTTCGAGGCCCAATTCAAAGTGCTGATTTTTACCTATAAAGCCTTATGCGGCTCAGGACCCCAATATAGGGTTACCAGACGTCCCCGTTTCCCGGGGACAGTCCCCGGATTCACCACTGTCCCCAGACGAAATCTGTCCCCGGATTTTAATTAATGTCCCCGGATTTATGCCTGGGGACTTCTGGAGAGACAACATGACGGGTGCCATGGCAGTGAACAGCACCGGAGGTCCCAGCCATGTCAAAGTTCCAGCCAGTCAATCCGCTAGCTGGCTGGCTGGGGGGGGGCGCTATTTAAACCGAGGCGTGAGCCAGAGATCTTCCTTATGGCTCGCTTCCTCAATCAAGGCTTGCCCCAAAATCGCGCAGAGCTGGCCGCAGCAGAAGAGCCCGCGGCGCTCTTCTGCTGTGGGCTCTGAGCACCCGAAGTGGGGGGCGGGCAAGTGGGGCACTGAGGCGGTGAAGAAGAGGAGGAAAAGCCTAGAAAAGAGCTGTGCTCCATTGTGAGACAGACACAGAGCCTTGTGTGTGTGTGTTTTAATGCGTGTTTTCCCAAGACAGGCGAGTGCCTTTACTCAATCTCCCCCCCACCTCTTTTTTTTGGGGGGGGGCATTTGTGTGTTTGTAGATAGGCTTCTCCACCTGCCTTGTGTCGAGGAGCAAACCCCCTAAAAAAGGTCAAGAACTCTGAGCAACCCTTTCCTAAAATAATAAAGCATGGAATTTTTTTTTAAGTGTCCCCGGATTCTTTGAAAAAAATCTGGTAACCATACCCCAATACCTCAAGGACCCCATAAGAACCAGCCCACACCCTGCAATCATCCTCTGAGGCCCTTCTCCCTGAGCCCCTCCATGGCAGGTCCAGTAGGTGGCAACACGAGAGCAGGGCCTTTTCAACGGTGGCTCCTCATTTGTGGAATGCCCTTCTGCCAGGGAAGCTCACCTGGTGCTCTCTAGTCTAGCTTAAGGCACCAGGCAAAACCTTCCCTTTTTACTGAAGCTTTTGGCCCTACGTTTGAAGCGGGTGGTGGGAGGAGGACAGTTATCGGTTTCGTTCTTGTTTTCAATGTGTATTTTGTGTGGAAGTTTTTGAAACTTGCATTTCTGTGTAATATTATATTATATTATATTATATTATATTATTATATTATATTATATTATATTATATTATATTATATTATATTATATTATATTATATTATATTATATTATCCTCTGTCATGAATTTGTCCGATCCTCTTTCAAAGCCACCCAAGTTGGCGGCCATCCCTGCCTCTTGTGGCAGCGAGTTCCACAGTTTAACTCCGTGCTGTGTGAAAAAGGGCTTTCTTTTATCAGTCCTGGACCTCGTAGCATTCCACTCCCTCGGATGCCCACAACCCGGCAGACCTGTTCCAGCAGGCTGCTTCTCCTCCTGACGTTCATACACCTGGAAACAAACAGACGCAAAGCCACAGCCCTGCTTACCATCATCCAGACAGGGGAACGCAGCCTGCTGAGGACGCGAGAGTTGTCGGAGGTGACGGACTGGACCCCGGAGCACCACAGGACAGAGTAGAGCCAAGGCTCGTTCACGACAAACAGATTGACGCTTAAGTTCGCCACGGCGTATTCCCTGTCGAGGAAGCAGAGCGAGGAGAAGGACGGGCCTTAAATAGCGCAGAAGAACGTCAAAATGGCATTTGCTGGATCTCGCTGGGACGTTGGGTTCTGTCTGGTCCCAGATTCTGCCGTCAGAGAACCACATCGGAGAACAGAGGCCGTTTTAGGGCAGCGCCATTGGCTTGCCCGCAGTGGCTGAGGTGGCACCTTTGCAAAGTCTGGTTAGCGCTTCTCCAGCTTTGGGAAGGAGACAGGTAAAGATAAAAGGTAAAGGTCCCCTGGATGGTTAAGTCCAGTCAAAGGAGACTATGGGGTTGCAGAGCTCATCTTGCTTTCAGGCCGAGGGAGCCGGCGTTTCCCTGCAGACAGCTTTCCAGGTCATGTGACCAGCAGGACTAAACAGCTTCTGGCACAATGGAACACCATAACGGAAACCAGAGTATACGGAAACGCCGTTTACCTTCCCACCACAGTGGTACCTATTTATCTACTTGCACTGGTGTTCTTTTGAACTGCTTGGTTGGCAGGAGCTGGGACAGAGCAATGGGAGCTCACCCCGTCGCGGGGATTCGAACCCCCAAGCTTCTGATCGGCAAGCCCAAGAGGCTCAGTGGTTTAAACCACAGCGCCACAGGACGTATGAGGGCTTTGACAAGGTCCCAGGGTCCTCCTCTTCCTTCCCAAAGCTGAGCAACTGCTTACTGGGCTTTAGGAAGGAGGAGGGAGGGCTCTGAGACCCCACAAGTGCTCTCATGCGTCCTTCCCATCAACTGCTCTGTCAATGAAGCAATGGCGCCCACGTCGCCTATTGCCCGCTCGCTCACAGAGGCAAGCTCATTGCAACTCCCTTCTGTTTGGAATGGGAGGGGAGAGGCTGGGTGAATGATTTTAGCATGCAATGCACTGTGGGCACGTTTAAAGGGGGGTGTTCAATACAGGAGTTACAGGTAGGTAGCCGTGTTGGTCTGCCGTAGTCGAAACAAAATAAAAAAATTCCCTCCAGTAGCACATTAGAGAGCAATAACAAACTTAAAGGTAAAGGGGACCCCTGACCATTAGGTCGTCGTGGCTGACTCTGGGGTTGCGGCGCTCATCTCACTTTATTGGCCAAGGGAGCCGGCGTTTGTCCACAGACAGCTTCCGGGTCATGTGGCCAGCATGACTAAGCCACTTCTGTCAAACCAGAGCAGTGCATGGAAACGCCGTTTACCTTCCCACCAGAGCGGTACCTACTTATCTACTTGCACTTTGACGTGCTTTCAAACTGCTAGGTTGGCAGGAGCAGGGACCGAGCAACGGGAGCTCACCCCATCGCGGGGATTCAAACCGCCGACCTTCTGATCGGCAAGCCCTAGGCTCTGTGGTTTAACCCACAGCGCCACCCACGTCCCACATAATGAACTTAGTTGGTCTCTAAAGTGCTACTGGAAGGAATTTATTTATTTTGTTCAATACAAGAGACACTGAGCCCGTGCAGAGTTGATTTGAGCAGGAAGAGCAAAGTGTCTCTCATGCACTGTGGGTTTTTGAGGGTCACAGCGGCACACACAAATGCTGGTTCAACCCCCCCAAAGGAGCAAACAAGCAAACACGACAAGGCTGAGAAGCAAACGTTTCTCATCCAGCTGCAAAACAAACGCCTTCACTTGCTCCAGATCTACATCCCCAAAATATTATTCCAGCCTGTTCCCCAATCGGCAAACCGCAACCACGCGTTGTTCTAGGAAAGTGTCCCGGCCAATGTCCGTCCAAAGATAAGACGGACGGATCAAAGGCTATTAATGGGCTGGTTTTTTTTGCGCACAAAGTAATTTCTGAAATAAAAACCGGGACCTTGGACTTCTTCACAGCTCCATGGTAACAGCAGCGGCTGCTAGAGAGATAAGGAGTGTGGCAAGTGGTTTGAAGCTTGTCTCTCAAAGTGCCCAGAGAGGATATTAGAGGCAGCCTCACAAAGCCATCCATTATGTTCCAGGCATGCAATTGTCTCCGCAGGCCCTTAGTCATCATTAGGCACCCCTGTCAAAAGGCCTTTTCCTCCGCCGCTAGCTCTGTTCAGGGCCGTAGTCGTCTCTGCTAACAAGAAGGTCAATTCTGCAATCTGCTTCACTGAGGAAAACTTGCAGGAGTCACAAAATCATAGAGCTGGAAGGTACCCAAAGTTCAACCTCCTGCAAAGCATCTTGCCTTGAGGAATTTATTCTACAATTTCATTATGTTGCAAAACCCCTCCTGGTTTCCCTAGATATTTTGGTGGGAGGAACAATGAACTGTGTGGGACACTAGCACCCCACCCCTGGTCATAATTCGTGTAGACTGCAGCCTTCCCTGACCTCAGAAAGCCAGCACATCAGGGAGAAACCAAATCTGGACATTACCTTCCCTGGCTACCTTTCTAGAAGCATGGATGTTGGTTTTCGTTTCTCTTTTTTTAAAAAAATGGGAGAAACCTTCCAACATGGAAGCTTCCCTCGGGCCGAAAGTGGTACAGTCCAGAAAGATAAAAATGCTTATGAGAATGAGACCAAAGACATGTGGAAGAGCGAAAGCCCACGGCAGACCTGATATCGTCCCTGGTGACTTTGGTGTAGCGCAGGTTCAGCTTTTGGAAGCCTCTGTCCCTCAAAGGCTGAGCCCCAGCCTTGACGCCAGTGGTCTGCTGGAAACCTGGGGCAACCTCTTGGACCAGTCGGCGGTCAGAGTCGGGCAACCACATCACCTGATGGGGCGGAAAACAAAACAAAAGGAACCCAGTAACAGTCGCCATTAGAAAAGAGCGTTTGAAAAATCTATTGAAATCAGACATTGTAAGTTCATCTTAGACTGGACAGTTCGCAAGTTTCTGTGGCTTTGCACAAGGTTTTATATTTTTCTCGGAAGATTGATAAAGAATGTATAATTATTTTAGTAATTATTGTGTGTATATGAGTCACCGACGCGTTGCATGAGTCGTACTACTTATATCAGCAGCACAGGTTGAACTTTTCTAGCGTTAGAAAAGAGCAGCCATTACCAAGAGATCAAGGCTGCAAAAGCTTTTCGACGGTTGGCATTGCTTTTCAAAAGATTGCACTCCTCGCTCAAGGAGCAAAAACAGTTTCTCAAAACCACGGCTTAAAATTGGTGCAAATATTTCACTTTAAAATTATGGAACATTTCTGCGTTATGTAAACGTACCATTGCGTATCCGGTCACAGCAGTCTTGAGTGTGGTTTCCTGATCAGTGCAAATAGGTAAAGGGTAAAGGGACCCCTGACCATTAGGTCCAGTCGTGGCCGACTCTGGGGTTGCGGCGCTCATCTCACTTTATTGGCCGAGGGAGCCGGCGTACAGCTTCCGGGTCATGTGGCCAGCATGACTAAGCCACTTCTGGCGAACCAGAGCAGCGCACAGAAACACCGTTTACCTTCCCGCCGGAGTGGCACCTATTTATCTACTTGCACTTTGAGGTGCTTTCAAACTGCTAGGTTGGCAGGAGCAGGGAGCGAGCAACGGAAGCTCACCCCGTGGCAGGGATTCGAACCGCCGACCTTCTGATCAGCAAGTCCTAGGCTCTGTGGTTTAATCCACAGCGCCACCCGTGTCCGATCAGTGCAAATAAAAGACCAGATGATTCTTAGCAATGGGAAATAATTTCAGGTTGGAGAGAGAGAGAGAGAGAAAAAAAAGATCAAGATCAGTGCAAATACTTTATCTTCTCTCTCTCTCTCTCTCTCTCTCTCTCTCTCCAACCTGAAATTATTTCCCATTGCTAAGAATCATCTGGTCTTTTCAGTCCAAAGGTGCATCTAGAGAGCCTTCGCTGTACAATTATAGCCAGGTCCTGAGGTTTCGCCTCCTCTGTCCTTTGGCAGTGAAGGGATTTCGTTTTGTGGGACCCACCTCTCTGGCTGAGTTTATACCCTTCCAAACTGGCAGATTGGGACGCCCGGTGCCTGACACACTCCCTCTCTGCCTAACACACCTCGCAGGGTTGTTGTAAAGATAAAATCAGGAGAGCTACATACACCACCATGAGCTCATTGGAGTGATGCCAATCTAATGCAATGCAATGTAACAACATAATAAGATGTCCTTGTGGATAGAACCTGCGTCCTCAACAGGCAGAATTAAACCAAGCTAGAAGCACAAACGCTGCCTCCAAAAGGTTGTTTTTGGGGGTGGATGAACAGGAAAGGCTGACAGGATGGAAGCGGGCAGCTTCCTTGAACGAGGAGCCGGTGGTGCAAGACGCACTTCGGATTGGAAACTGGCTGCCGGTGTTCTTAGAAAGAACAGATGGAAACTAAATGTGGAGTCGTCCCCCAAGTTAATTGCTCCATATGTGGGTGTGTGAGAAGCTTCAGGATTGAACGCGGCAAGCAACAACAACAAAACTCTCACACCCTTAACTGGAAAGGCTTTTTGGTAAAACTTAAAGGCAAAGGACCCCTGGACAGTTAAAGTTAAAGGGACCCCTGACCATTAGGTCCAGTCGTGGCCGACTCTGGGTTGCGGCACTCATCTCGCTTTATTGGCCGAGGGAGCCAGCATACAGCTTCCGGGTCATGTAGCCAGCATGACTAAACCGCTTCTGGCGAACCAGAGCAGCGCCTGGAAACGCCGTTTACCTTCCCGCCGGAGCGGTACCTATTTATCTACTTGCACTTTGACGTGCTTTCGAACTGCTAGGTTGGCAGGAGCAGGGACCGAGCAATGGGAGCTCACCCCGTCGCGGCGATTCGAACCGCCAACCTTCTGATCAGCAAGCCCTAGGCTCTGTGGTTTAGACCACAGCGCCACCCGCGTCCCTTGAACAGTTAAGTCCAGTCAAATGCAACTATGGGGTTGTGGTACTCAGGGCCGGATTGAGGTTTGATGAGGCCCTGAGCTACTGAAGGTAATGGGGCCCTTTATATCTTCAGCTGTCCTTTGTCAACAACAAATGGTCGCTGTTTTTTGTGCTGAATATATGCTATATATGATGATTTATGGACCTAATAGGAGCCTACACAACACAAAACACTGTTGCGGTATGTAGGTTTTATTTGATTTGATTTTTATCTTATATTATGGAAATGTACATCCAGTTTTTTTTCCTTCAAATTTTTTTGGGGGCCCCCAAGAGAGCGGGGCCCTAAGCTATAGATTGTTTAGCTTATACGTAAATCTGGCACTGGCGGTACTCATCTCATTTTTCAGGCCAAGGGAGATAGCGTTTGTCCACTGACAGCTTTCTGGGTCATGTGGCCAGCAGGGCTAAACTGCTTCTGGCACAATGGGACACCATGATGGAAACCAGAGCGCACGGAAACGCTGTTTACCTTCCCGCCACAGTGGTGCCTATTTATCTACTTGCATTGGTGTGCTTTCGAACTGCTAGGTTGGCAGGAGCTGGGACAGAGCAACAGGAGCTCACCCCGTTGTGGGGATTCGAACCGCTGACCTTCCAATCGGCAAGCCCAAGAGGCTCAGTGGTTTAGACCACAGCGCCAGGATCTCAGGACACATGGAAATGTCACTGCCCAAACCACTGCTCTGGGCAGATGCCTCCCAGCTGCCCGGATATCCCAGGTTGAAGAGATCAGGAAGAGATGTCCCACATTGAATGGACCTTCACGAAATGGTTTGGGTCTTGAACTGGGGACACTATAATCAGTGGAGGGCTGTCACTCAGAAGACAGCTGCTCCGGGATGAGGGAAGATCTCAGCAGGAGAAACATCTCTGCAATGATTTGACAATGGCACCAACAACAAACTGTGGACCGCCCTCCCACCAGATGTCAAGGAAATAAACAACTATAGTGGTACCTCAGGTTATGAACTTAATTCATTCCAGAGGTCCATTCTTAACCTGAAACTGTTCTTAAACTGAAGCACCACTTTAGCTAATGGGGCCTCCTACTGCTGCCGCGCCGCTGGAGCACGATTTCTGTTCTCATCCTGAAGCAAAGTTCTTAACCTGAGGTACTATTTCCGGGTTAGCGGAGTCTGTAACCTGAAGCGTCTGTAACCTGAGGTACCACTGTACCTGACTTTTAGAAGACATCTGAAAGCAGCCCTGTTCAGGGAAGCTTTTAATGTTTGATCTTTTATCGTGCTTTTAATATCCCGTTGGAAGCCGCCCAGAGTGGCTGGGGAGGCCCGGCCAGATGGGTGGGGTATAAATAAATTATTATTATTATTATTATTATTATTATTATTATTATTATTATTATTATTATTATTATATCCTCAGCAACCAGGCCATTCCCAGGGAGGGCAAGGAAAGTCTTCATTCACCCTCAATGAAGTCGCCATTTGATCACCATGACTACGTGCTGCCTGATTGGCTAGGACCATGCAGCCAATGAGAAGGCAAGGCACATCGGAAAGGAAGTTCATAGAATCAGGAGGGATCCCCAAGGAACATCTAGTCCACCCCCACCCCCCGCAATACTCAGGACAGAAACAAGCAGCAATGAGCAAGGTGCATTTTGTGGGGAGCAGGGGGCAGGTTTTGGGGGGACGTTTCTCGCTCATCCTCCAGAAAGCTACAGCGACCCCCCCAGAAAAAAAGCTTCTTTTGCCCATGAGCCTCTCCCAAGCCCGCCTCTAGTTTCTCCTTCTCCGACCGAAGCAGAAGCCCCCACAAACATTATTCAGCATCTACCTACAAAAGTGACGTGGAACTCACAGCCTGCTGAGGGACGCCCGAGTCGAGGACCGTTTCCAGGGTGATGTTGATGAAAGCGCTGTAGTAAGGGTGGTCCCGGGGCAAGCTCTGGAAGTTTAAGAGGACGGTGGCATTGCCCTTGACCACCTCCAGCATCTCGGCCAGCTTGCAGACGGACTGGTTGGCAGCTCGGACAAAGTCGGAACTGGAGAGCGACTGGGCGGTCCAAAAGGGATCGTTCTGAGGGAAGGGGGAGCAAACAGAAAGACCAGCATTCAACGTTATCGCTTTGGAAGCCAACATTTTTCTTTTTTAAGGAAGCCATCTTTTAGGCTACATCCGCACGGCAGCTTATTCCGCTTCCCTGGCCGTCGATTTCTGCATTTCATTTGAGCTTTCGCACGACGTAAAAGCCTGTTCCGGAAAACCAACGAGACACGTTAGCTCGTTTCTGCAAACTTTTCTTTTCCCTCAGGCCCCCTGACAAAACATCTTGTAAAGAATATCGGGGGACAGCAAACAAATGCTTTGCACATCATGAGCTTTCTTGAAAGCAAGGAGGAGGAGGGATGAAGGGGAAACCTTCCTCCAAGACGCAAGGGCGTTTTCAAGATCACTCTCTGTCTTTCAAGCTGATTAATGGGGTGCTTCGTTCTGTTCTCAAAAGCATCCATCGTGTAGAATGAGACAACCAGGCTGGTTTGGGAAGGCCAATTTGGGAAGCAGAGCCTCACCTCCTAATGCTTCAACCACCATTGATTGATTGATTGATTGATTGATTGATTGATTGATTGATTGAACAAAGCAAGCAAGCAAGCAAGGGCAGGGGAGACCCACCCCACATAGCTGTCAACTTACAGATTTGAAAATAAGGGACCAGCAGCCTCGAAAATAAGGGATCAGCAGCCAAAATAAGGGATTTTAGTCAACCAGCTGAAATAGGAAGTTAAAAGGGACCAGATAATTTGGGAGAGCAGCGCCGGTTTTTAGCCCTTCGTTTCCAGAGGTTGCTGCTCAAGACACCAGCCGATGAAACACTGCAATTAAATAACTACAAGCAGCAACCACTTTTTGCACAAAACGAAGTCCAAGCTAAGAAGATGCTGCTGCAGTTCTGTATCTTTTCTCTCGTGCTCATCTGCAGCTCTCAGTTCCATCAGGCGGGGTGGGAGGAACAGAGGGGGGGGGAGAGCGCCCGAAGTAAACCCGCAGATCAGACCGTCTATGCTAGTCTACCACTACAAATCTATGGGAGAAGCGCTTGCGGTCCTTCCTCCGCTTTCCCCCTCTACGGTTAGTCCTTGGAACACCTGCCCGCGCCTCCGCCTCCACCTCCGCTCTCTGAACTGCTTTCTCTATGGTTGCCCTCACTCTCCTCTCAAGGCTCCTCAGCAAATCATAGGGCGCGCCAGGCTGCCCATCTCATCCGGGTCCTTCAGCGGCGCAGCCACAGTACGGCCTAGTGGGAGCGGCAGCAGGCAGAGGGGAGGCCCCAGGCAGAGACGCTCAGTTCGGCGGCCGCGAGAAGGATGGCGGCGGAGGGGCCCGAGGCTCCCGCCAGTCCTGGCGGGGAGGGGCTCCCGGGGCCCAAGGCTGGTGAGAGGAGGCCGGAGGGGGGGCGGGCCGGACAGCCAAGCAACACAGTGGGAGCCTCCCTCCTCCCTGGCCGGCAGGGAGGGAGGGAGAGGAGCTGCTTCCTTTGAAACCCGGGAAATTTAAGGGACATCATCAATCAGGGACAGCAGCAGGACACGGTGCTGGGATAAGGGAGTTTCCCGCCAAATAAGGGACGCTTGACGGCTATGCCACCCCACCCTCCAGGCTCGGCCACACACCTTGAGGAACCATTCGCCGGCGTTCAGCATCTCCAGGTCTGTCCAGTTGAACATGGAAGAATGTGTGTAGGCCCTCTCTGGGAAGACGGCCTCCACGTCCGTCGTCCTCCGTAGCGTCTTGTCATGCATGAGGAAAGGCACCCCGTCATAGCTGTGCAACGGAAAGAGAAAAGGAGTCTCCCTTTACATTTGCAAGGCAGTACTTGACCGATGCAGAACGCCTCCGCTGTTCCATGCTGGTGCATGGGATGGAATCATAGAATCGCAGAGCTGTAAGGGACACCCGGGGGTCATCTAGTCCAACCCCCCGCAATGAGGAATCTCAACCCAAGCATCCATGACAGACGGCCACCCAACCTCTGCTCAAAAACCTCCAAGGAAGGAGAGCCCAACGCCTCTCGTGGGAGACCATTCCACTTTCAAACAGCTCTGACTCTCAGAAAGTTCTTCCTGAAGTTGAATCTTCTTTCTCATAATTTGGAGTCTCAACTAGGGCCAGGGTCTTTTCAGTACTGGCCCCGACATGGTGGAACGCTCTCTCACAAGAGACTAGGGCCCTGCGGGACTTGACATCTTTCCACAGGGCCTGCAAGACAGAGCTGTTCCGCCTGGCCTCTGGTTTGGACTCAGTCTGACCCTTATGGTTTTGATCTATGGGCTACTTTAAAAATGAGGCTGCATTTTAAATTGCATTTTAACCGGTATTTTAAATTGGTTTTTTCCCCCTATTAGGTTTTTACTGTAATTTTACTGGTGTTAACAGCCCTGAGCCCGGCTCTGGCCGGGGAGGGTGGGGTATAAATAAAATTTATTATTATTATTACTATTATTATTATTATTAATTTGAGTCCTACCCTCCAGAGCAGGAGAAAACAAGTTTGTTTCCACTTCCATGTGGATCAAACATCTATCACATAGGTCCTAAGGCCCGGGGGCCGGATCCAGCCCAATCGCCTTCTAAATCCGGCCCGCGGACGGTTTGGGAATCAGCATGTTTTTACATGAGTAGAAAGTGTCCTTTTATTTAAAATGGATCTCTGGGTTATTTGTGGGGCCTGCCTGGTGTTTTTACATGAGTAGAATGTGTGCTTTCTTAATATAGCCTGGCTCCCCACAAGGTCTGAGGAACAGTAGACCAGGCCCCCTGCTGAAAAAGTTTGCTGACCCCTGAATTCTATCACATCATATTTCTTCACAGTCTCCTCTTTTCCAGGCTAAATATACCCAGCTCCTTCGACCGTTCCTCATCAGGCTTGGTTTCCAGACCCTGGATCATCTTGGTTGCCCTCCTCTGTGCTTGTTGGCTTTCTTCCAGGACAAAATCTGCAAAAAGGTGTCCCTATGGGATTTCTTTCGCACCCCTATCATTGTGTTTTGGGTCAGAGAGAGAACAACATGTGAGAGTTGGAACTTAACTGGTTAAGTTGTTCCCATGATGCCTCACCATTCTGACGTCACTATTGGAAGCTCGGGAGGAGCTTGAGGCAAAGTTTGCCAGTCCCACTATGTGAGCTGTGGGGAAAAGGACGTAGTGCTGTGATGGCTACAACTAGTCCTGGAAATTCCTGAGAAATGTTGGAAATAAAAGCTGTATAGAGACAAACGGGACTCTGTGTGTTTGTCAAAAAGCTGAATCAAGTTGGTGACAGTTTTACATCGCTGTGCGAAGCTCTGCTGAACCGTGACGGAGAAGTGCCGGAGTGGAAGCGTGCCGGGCAGCCATAAATCGCTAATTGAGGTCCGTAAATCAATTAGCGGGGGTCACGGCTAATAAAACAGCACAGGTTATGGGTCCATAAATAACCGCTTGTAAAACTGTCGCGGGAGCTGTGAATCTGCGGTGTCGAGCAGAGGCGGCAGAAGGTGCAGACGGAAGCAAACAAGCAAGCTGCGAGACGCAGAGAACTGCCTGTGTTGCTGAGAACTGCAAAGAGCTGCAGAGACGGCAGGAGGCAGGAGCCAGGAGCTGAGAACAGCGGGAATCGTTTCTCCACGCCAGAAGAGCTGAAAATCTTGTGAGTACAGCTTGGGGCGCTTTTGGAGAACGGGAGATCGGAATCTGAGGCAAGCAGGCAAGCAAGCTGAAAGACGCTGCAGAGAGCTTGGGGCTGTACCTAACGTTTGAAGGCAAGCTGACAACGATGCTGATGCCAGCTTGAAGTTCTGCCTGGAAGTGTGAGAGGCAGGGGCGCTGATCTGCTAAACCGGGAGCCGAAGAGCGGCTGGTTGTTTACGTGAGTACGCTGGGCCCCGGGGGAAGATGGCAGGCTGCCAGGTCTTGGAGAACATTCCAGGCTCACTTTAAGAAGTTGGGCAACCTGGCTGCTGATCTGAAGTCTACTGTTCTCGGTGCCGAGGAGCCAGAGGCCGTTCAGCGCTCCAGGGTGTTTATGAGGCTGGAGGCGGAAGCAAGGGCTGGGAGATGGCTGCTTCAGAACAGAAAGGCAAGATGGCGCTGATCACCCACGTGAGAGCCAGTGCACAGCTGGGAAAGGCTGTGGGACCCCTAAGGGGGGTCAAGGGACTATCACTACTGCTGTGTTTGCTGTGAAGCTTCAGCAGGAGGCCAGAGCCCTGGGGAAGGACTACAAAAGCCTAAAGATGGCTGGAGCCCCTGTCCCTGATGCTTTAGCCACAAGGAGTGCTGCTGAGCAGGTCGGGGGGGCGGAAGGTTTCCAAAGGCACGTTTAAAGTTTTCCACTGAACCTGCTGGAATGAAGAGCAGCTTCAGGGGGGGCGAGGCTGGTGGGAGGCGCCGTTCCAGGAGGAGGAAGGCCAAACCAGCTGGGAGCCCCAGGCAGTGTTTTTCCACTGGAGTTCGTCATTGCCAGGCTTCAAGGCCAGCCATCTGCTGCAGCGGAAGATACGTGCTGCAGAGTTGTCTGGGAACTCTGAGATAAGTCCAGTCTTCAGAGCAACGCAGGATGTTGCGGTTTTCGGACGCTGCCAAGGACAGAGGGGGCAGCGGGACGTTTGTTGCTTCTATGGCAACTGTGAGAAACAACTCCAGCCAGGACGCGATGACACGCTGGGTGTTTTGGTTTCTGCTATCAGGCAGCACCTGATAGGCAAGCTGCGGAACTGCAGGGCTGTTTTCAACAGGAACAATTGTTTTATTGGCTAACGTGCTTTCTTCTCTCCTTCACAGGAGGAGCTAGAGATCTGCGTTGTGCCGGGACTGAATAGTTGTCGGTTATCTGTATCTGCTCTAACGAAGCAGGGGTTCAAAAATGTGCTTTGAAAATGACACCTGTTCCATTTTCAGAGGGGGGCGACAACGGGTCAACATGGCGAAGAGCAAGAACAACGTCTTTGTTCTGGAGTCACCTATGGAGGGTGGTGGGAATGCTGGAAAAGCACAGGTGCAGTGTGCTAAGGTTCCCAAAGATGTGCAAAAGTTGCACAGGTGCACAAGAGGGTACAAGCTCCGGAAATGTGGGAGGAGGTCCCAAGGGTGCAGGGCATGCAAAGGTGCAAAGGTGCTTGGTTTTCCCGGGTTTGGGAGGGTTACCAAAGAGCCCTTTGAGCTGGTTTACACAGATCTGTCAGGACCCATGAGGTCTGAGAGTCTGGGTGGGGCCAGGTATGTGCTGTCGCTGACAGGTAACCACAGCCAAGTTGGCTGGTGTTTCTCTCTCAAAACACAGGGGGAGGTGGCGCAACTGTTCCAGGATTGGGTTGCGGAGGTGGAACGAAGGTTCTCCACCAGGGTGCAAGGGGTCAAGAGCGACCGAGGGTCACAGTTTACTGGGTCTGCTCTGGAGAAATCTTTCAAGGAAAAGGAAATACGTCACCAGGTGACGGGTGCAAAGTCTTCTCAAGGGAGAAGGGAGGCTGTGGCTGAACCCAGTGATGGGGATAAGGTCCAGAATCAGGGTTCAGATCCCGGTGATGGGGACCAAGTCCAGGGTCAGGGTTCAGGGCAGGTTTGGGCATCTCCAAGGGTTGTGAAAGGAGTGTCCAGGTGTGAGGCTTCATCTCCGGTAATGGAGAAAGCTCACGGAAAGGTTGTCAAGTCAGAGGGGGAAGAGTCTGACGGAGAAGACACAGCTGCTGGCCCTAATGGGTCAGTAGGGTATCAGGTCACAGGTGCGTGGAAAAGTGTCGCACAGTGTGATTCTGGGAGTGTTGAAGGGGTTCAACAGGTGCCTGGGAAAGATGCCGGGAGGGGCACAAGGCAAAGGGGAAGGTGTTGAACTCAGAGGGTCTTGTCAGAATGGGATGCAAGAGGGGGTGTGAGAGTTGGAACTTAACTGGTTAAGTTGTTCCCATGATGCCTCACCATTCTGACGTCACTATTGGAAGCTCGGGAGGAGCTTGAGGCAAAGTTTGCCAGTCCCACTATGTGAGCTGTGGGGAAAAGGACGTAGTGCTGTGATGGCTGCAACTAGTCCTGGAAATTCCTGAGAAATGTTGGAAATAAAAGCTGTATAGAGACAAACGGGACTCTGTGTGTTTGTCAAAAAGCTGAATCAAGTTGGTGACAGTTTTACATCGCTGTGCGAAGCTCTGCTGAACCGTGACGGAGAAGTGCCGGAGTGGAAGCGTGCCGGGCAGCCATAAATCGCTAATTGAGGTCCGTAAATCAATTAGCGGGGGTCACGGCTAATAAAACAGCACACAACAAACTCAAACCCAGCTTGGTTTCAGATTAAACCTCCCAATCACTACAACAATTTGAAACAATATTTATCTAACTCTTGGTGGTGCCGTGCTGTGTCACTCCCCAGTAATAATAATAATAATAATGTTGTTGTGGTTGTTGTTGTTTAGTCATTTAGTCGTGTCCGACTCTTCGTGACCCCCTGGACCAGAGCACGCCAGGCGCTCCTGTTTTCCACTGCCTCCCGCAGTTTGGTCAAACTCATGCTGGTAGCTTTGAGATAATAATACTTTATTATTTATACCCCGCCCATCTGGCTGGGTTTCCCCAGCCATTCTGGGTGGCTGCCAACAGAATATTAAAATACAATAATCTATTAAACATTAAAAGCTTCCCTAAACAGGGCTGCCTTCAGATGTCTTCTAAAAGTCTGGTAGTTGTTTTTCTCTTTGCCATCTGGTGGGAGGGCGTTCCACAGGGCAGGCGCCACTACCGAGAAGGCCCTCTGTCTGGTTCCCTGTAACATCACTTCTCGCAGGGAGGGAACCGCCAGAAGGCCCTCAGCGCTGGACCTCAGTGTCCGGGCCGAACGATGGGGGTGGAGACGCTCCTTCAGGTCTACTGGGCCTTTGAGGCCGTTTAGGGCTTTCAAGGTCAGCACCAACACTTTGAATTGTGCTCAGGAAAAAGTACCAGTTCCCTGATTCCACAACTCTGTGCCTAAAAGCATCCTCACTTTCCCACTCAGCCTGGACAAATATGGCAAACTGCACACCCCCGAGCCCAGAAATGTGAACAAGGGCAGGAGACTTGCAAAAGAAACTAGCGTGGCAAGGGATTCCTTAGCTGAGATTCCTGCTTTGCAGGGGGTCAGACTAGATGACCCCTGGTCTCCCTTCCAACTCTACAATTCAACTCTGCACCTGAGAGCAGAGAGAGGCACTTGCCTTATGACCACATCTGCCTGCACTCCGTAGAGTTTCTGCTCCACCGCTTTCTGGAAGGACATCAGAGTGTTTTCAGGTGCCATCTGGGAAGGAGAGAAAGATGAACAAACAATATCATTTATTCATCTAAGCAAGCTGCCAAACCGGACAGCGTACAAGAGATAGAGCAGTCAGTTAAAATGCCAACATTGACTATCCAAACATGTTTAAAATAGCATCGGGCACAGAAAGGGATCGGGCCGCCAAATGATAATCTCTAGAATACGGAGGAGATTAATTTGAGGAGATCAAAAGATGGGGCAGAGTCCGTCGGATGTTTTGCCGTTGGAAACAGATGGAGGCCACCAGAAAAAATATATATATTAATGGAACCCTCAAGAACATGGCACAAATATTTCTATAAAAGGGTGCTTTGCGGGAATGCTGTGGGTGCCCCCCACAGACGGACACTCTTTTGCGGAAGGAAACAGAGGTCTGCAAAATTAAAGTGGATTAAAGTGAGTCTCAAAGCGGCTAACATTCTCCTTTCCCTTCCTCCCCCACAACAAACACTCTGTGAGGTGAGTGAGGCTGAGAGACTTCAGAGAAGTGTGACTAGCCCAAGGTCACCCAGCAGCTGCATGTGGAGGAGCGGGGAATCGAACCCGGTTCACCAGATTACGAGTCCACTGCTCTTAACCACTACACCACGCTGGCTCCCAGCTCACTTTAACTAATTTTTCCACGTTGCATTTGTTGTCCGCTGCCTACTGACGACTGCGGTTGAGCAGTAGATAAATTGTTTAGATAAAAATAAGTAATTATTAGGTAGTATTATTACCATTATCTTTATTATTACCAGTTAATAAAATGGCAATCAATTGGTTGAAAAATGGCAACCGCTGTAGAATTCTGCAGCTGGTTTGTGGACTAGAAGCAGGAGGTCCGATCAGGTAAAATCCTATCCCGTCCCAGCTAGAGATTAATTTCCAGGCTCAATTTGAAGTGCTGGTCTAAATATATGAAGCGCGATGAGACTTGGGACGTCAATACCTTTGGAACTGCCTCTCTCTGCAGGAACCTGCCCAGACCCTGCACCCATCATCAGAGACCCATCTCTGTGTGTCCGCATTCATGGGGGGTGTGGAGAGTGACAACACAGGACAGGGTCTTCTGGGTGGTGGCTCCACGACTGTGGACTGCTCTCCACAGATAGATGAGCCTTGGCACCAACATTTAGGTGCCAAGGAAAGGCATTTCTGTTTTCCCTGGCATTTGGCAGCATAGGGTTACCAGACGTCCCGGTTTCCCAGGGACAGTCCCCGGATTTGCGAATTAGTCCCCGGACAAATTAATGTCCCCGGATTTCATCTAATGTCCCCGGGAAACGCAGCAGTGGCAGTCTCAGCAGCCTGGAGCATAGCTGTCAACTTACAGATTTGAAAATAAGGGACCAGCAGCCTCGAAAATAAGGGATCAGCAGCCAAAATAAGGGATTTTCTGGACACAGGTATGTTCAACTTCTGAGCCCCTCCGAGCCAAAGGCAAAAAGCCCAGCCAGCAGCCAAACGAAGCCTCAAGCGGTGGTTCCCACAGCGCAGCAACCCGGAAAAGGGGATGCAGCAAGGAAAACCACATTCACCTCTCCGCTGGGAAGCGCTGAGCAAAGGCGAGTCCCCAGGCAACGCGGCTGATTTGATCGGCACAAGGCATGCAAGCTTCACCCCCCCAGTCATTCTTAGACTCCTTATTGGGTGAGCAACGCAGCCAAGCAACACAGTTGGAGCCTCCCTGGCAGGCTGGCAGGGAGGGAGGGAGAGGAGCTGCTTCCTTTGAAACCCAGGAAATTTAAGGGACATCATCAATAAGGGATAGCAGCGGGACATGGCGCTGGGATGAGGGACTTTTCCGCCAAATAAGGGACGGTTGACAGCTATGGCCCGGAGGAGCTGGCTCTGGCTGGCTTCAGGAGCTGCTCGGAAGTCCCCATGTGATGGTGGTGCAGGGGTTCGAACATGCAGCTTCCGGGCTGCCTCCACCTTCCCTGAGCCCAGCAACTCAGCTGTGAAGGGAAGCTTCATGCTGGCTATCTGAGCAGCCTCCCAACTCCTACTTGCGTGCAAGCGGGGCGGGGATCTCTCAGCTGTGAAGGGACGCTTCACACTGCCTATCAGAGCTTGCGTGCAAGCAGGAGGGGGCAGGGATCTCTCAGTTGTTAGGCAAGAGGAAGCCTCCCTTCCCAGCTGTGGGATCCCCAGCCCCTCCTGCTTGCACGCAAGTAGGAATGGGATTGGGGCTGCTCCAATGGGAAGGGGGGCATCGCGCTGCCCAAGCTTCGCTGCCGCCGCTCTCAGCCCTCCTCGGAGGAAGGGAAAATGTGGCGGTTGAGGTCAAGGCAGCGGCAGACCCTCTGCCACTGCCATTGCTGCAGCATCAATGTCCCAAAAGTAGTATGTAAGTATGTATGTGTTTATTTATTTATTTATTTATTTAAAGTGTCCAGGCATTCATTGAAAAAAATCTGGTAGCCTTATCTTATCTGATAATACAGTGGTACCTCGGGTTAAGTACTTAATTCGTTCTGGAGGTCCGTTCATAACCTGAAACTGTTCTTAACCTGAAGCACCACTTGAGCTAATGGGGCCTCCCGCTGCCGCCACACCGCCAGAGCACGATTTCTGTTCTCATCCTGAAGCAAAGTTCTTAACCTGAGGTACTATTTCTGGGCTAGCGGAGTCTGTAACCTGAAACGTATGTAACCCGAGGTATCACTGTACTTCGTTGGACTGGTCATGTTGTGCGGATGCCTGATGATCGTCTTCCAAAGCAACTACTCTATTCCGAATTAAAAATGGAAAGCGTCATGCTGGTGGTCAACAAAAGAGGTTTCAAGACTCCCTCAAAAAAGGCAGTATAAACACCAACAATTGGGAAACACTGGCCCGCTCCAGTTCAAGAACAGCCTTTACCAAGGGTGTTGTGGACTTTGAAGACACTTGAACTCAGGACGCAAGGGAGAAATGTGCTAGGAGGAAGGCACGCTTGGCAAACCCTCACCATGATCAACTCCCGCCCGGAAACCTGTGTCCCCACTGTGGAAGGACGTGTGGATCCAGAATTAGCCTCCACAGTCACTTACGGACTCCCTGTTAGAACCATGTTTATGGAAAACATCTTACTCAGCTACGAGTCATCGCCAAAGAAGAAGAAGAAGAAATACCCTCAGATTGTATTGGCATTCACCTTTCAGGAGGGTGTAATAGCATTTGTCGGTTTGAGGCATTGTATTTAGTAGGAATAATAATAATAATAATAATAATAATAATAATAATAATAATAATAGTGAGCCTGCTAGTTATGACCCAAGGGAAAAATACATCTCTGGAACAATGTTTCCAACTTGCTTCCCCTCACGTTAAAAGATTCAAGAGTGACATTTAATATTGGACTTTTTTTATTTTGAAAAAATACAAAATCCGATCTAAAGGTCAAATTGGGGAAGAAGCTAAAATAGGAGCGACTTGCCTAAGCAGGAAATGAGCCTTTTAATCCACTGCAGAGGAAGAGGCTTCTACAAAAAAGATAAAACAAAGGATGAGAAAGGCTTTGAAACCTGGGGATTGTCCTTTCTGGTTTAAAGGAGCTCTTAAAAACCTTGATTCCGGAAGGAAGAGATTTGCAGTATTTAAAAGGAAGACCAAACCGTCTGTTAAATTATGGATCAGAGGGGCGGCAGAGACTTTCCTTCCAACCCGCTGAGAAGAAGCGCGGCTACGCTGAAGAAGAACTTATGAATTAACACCCATTTCAGTCCTGGAAACCGTAATTCCTCTAGACAAAAAGGCGAGGAAGCAGAGATGGGATGGGAATTATGCGCAGAGGTAGATAAAAGGATTTTTCCTTTTGCTCTCATAACAGACAGCTCAGTTGGTAGAGAACCCGAACTCAGGGCTGTGGGTTCGAGGGCCACGTTGGGCAAAAGATTCCTGCATTGCAGAGGGTTGGACTAGATGACCCGGGTCCCTTCCAATTATTATTATTATTATTATTATTATTATTGGAAGATTCAGGACAGACCAAAGGAAGTATTATTTCCCTGCAAGTGCACCTGATCCACTTTTAATTGCACATCCTAAATTTGCTGTGATGGATGGAAGTGAGAGCTGGACCATAAAGAAGGCTGATCGCCAAATAATTGATGCTTTTGAATTCTGGTGCTGGAGGAGACTCTTGAGAGTCCCATGGACTGCAAGAAGATCAAACCTATCCATTCCTAAGGAAATCAGCCCTGAGTGCTCACTGGAAGGACAGATCCTGAAGCTGAGGCTCCAAGACTTTGGCCACCTCATGAGAAGAGAAGACACCCTGGAAAAGATCCTGATGTTGGGAAAGATGGAGGGCACAAGGAGAAGGGGACGACAGAGGACGAGATGGTTGGACAGTTTTCTCGAAGCTACCAGCATGAGTTTGACCAAACTGCGGGAGGCAGTTGGAAGACAGAAGTGCCTGGCGTGCTCTGGTCCAGGGGGTCACAAAGAGTCGGACACGACTAAACGACAACAAATTTGCTGTTACCTGTTTGATTCATATTAGTATTATTATTAGAAATTTATCAAAGCTGCAATCACTGCCTAGAAGCTGCCTCTCTTATCCTGGCTCTCAGCTTTTATTTTGCCTTTTCTCTGCAAAAGACATCTTGACCTAACGAATGAAGATTTTTGGATCCTAAAGGGGGCGATCCTATTACGCCAGATTCATGTCCCCTCGTTTACTTTTGAGCCTTTTTCATCTTACCTTCAAGGTGGAAGAAAAACATCTCTCTCCAGCACACACACCCTCTATTCTGAGGAATGAGACATCTTTAGATTTTTAATTAGGCCGTCGACTCCTTCCTGGCACAGCAACAGCTGCCAAAACAAATTCCTCTTTGTGGAACATATGTTCATTCTGAGCCAAAGATCAACAAGTATTAGTGTGCGAATTAGCTGCTCTTAACAGAGAGCCTTGGGCAGAGGGCATTAAGACGACGACGAGGTTCAAAAGTAAACACACTTGGCTAGGAGGAAAGATTCCAGAAGCTGGACCAGACATTTTTTAAAAAAGGTTTATTTTTTGTAAGGCTAGGAGGTGATATGTGTTTGAGAGAGGCTCTTCTATCACTATGTTCCAGCTGTCTAAGAGAGCACAGGCAAACACATTTTGCCTTCCCTTACTGAACCACTTGACTGATGCTGGCAGGAGAGGCACCAACGCATATGAGCAACTCTCCTCCCGCTCCTGCAACTGGCATTCGGAAGCATCTCCTACGAAGGAGCGTCTCCACTCCCATTGTTCAGCTGAGGTCCAAAACTCCAGAATGCCCTCGGCGCTGGACCTCAGTGTCCGGGTAAAACGATGGGGGTGGAGACTACCGGCAATTTACCGTATTTTTCGCCCCATAGGACACTCCGGCCCATAGGATGCACCTAGTTTTGGGGGGAAAATAAAGGGGGGAATTCCTTTATTTCCCCCCCCAAAGCAGGTCGGGGAAACCGAACCAGGTCGAGGAACAGCGGGATGGCAGCGCTGCGCCTCCCTGCTGTCCCCCGAGCTTGTGGGGCTGGCCGATGTCTGCCCGGCGCGAGGGCCGCTCTGCTTCAGGGCACCCCGCCCGCCGGGCGGCAGGCTGCTATCCGCAGAGTGGGGGGCCCTGCGGGGAACTCCTGCAGGGCTCCCCACGCTGCGGATGTATGCCCGGCGCGAGGGGCGCTCTGCTTCAGGGTGCCCCGCCCGCCGGGCGGCAGGCTGCTATCCACAGCGTGGGGCTGCCTAGGCTGCGGATGTGTTCCCGAAGCGCCGGGCGCTCTGCTTTCAGGGCGCCCGACGCTCCGGGAAGCAGGCTGCTATCCGCAGCCTAGACATCCCTGCGGGAACTCCCGCAGGGCTGCCTAGGCTGCGGATGTCTTCCTGAAGCCTGGAGAGCGAGAGGGGTCGGTGCACACCGACCCCTCTCGCTCTCCAAGCTTCAGCGAAAGCCTGCATTCGCCCCATAGGACGCACTCAGATTTCCCCTTCATTTTTGGAGGGGGAAAAGTACGTCCTATAGGGCGAAAAATCTGGTTGTGTTTTTTTTTTAAAAAAATAGATGACGGGGGGGGGAGAGTCATAAGAAGGGGATCCTACCATTGGCGCTCCCCGGTGTCCAATAATGGCAGGCTTGGGCCCAAGGTCCTTCTTCTCCATGATGCAAGGGGAATAGACCGTGAGAGGGATGAGGTACAGGGCCAGGACCACCGCAAAGTAGGCTCCGAACGTCAGCAACTGGGAGGCTGCAGGAAGAGGCAAACAGATGAGAGACAGAGAGAGAGAGAGAGAGAGAGAGGGATGGTGAATAGGGATCCAGGAAAAGGAGGGAGGAGAGGCTGTTCCCAAGACATTCAGGAAGTCCACAGAGCAGCCTTCCCCATTCTGGTGCCCTCCAGCTATTTTGGAATACTACAGTGGTTCTTTGGTTCTCAAACTTAATCCGTTCTGGAAGTCCGTTCCGAAAACAAGGCACGCTTTCCCATAGAGAGTAATGCAAAACGGATTAATCCGTTCCAGACTTTAAAGAACAACCCCTAAAACAGCAATTGAACCTGGATTTCACTATCTAACGAGACTGTTGACCCATAAAATGAAAGCAATAAACAATGTACTGCTGTCACACAATCAATCAATCAGGAGCTGAACTGGGTTCCACACAGTCACAAAAACAATAAAAAGAGCCACAAAAATGCAAAATAAATAGCAAAAACAGACAGACCTCAGTGCAACACTTAAAACGGAAGGGTGGCACTCAAAACGGAAGCATAACACTCAAAAAGGAGCACGTTCGGATTCCGAAAAAAGTTCACAAACCGGAACACTTACTTCCAGGTTTGCAGTGTTTGGGTTCCAAGTTGCTTGAGTGCCAAGGCGTTTGAGAACCAAGTTGCCACTGTACAACCAACACAGTCCAAAACGTCTGTTGCGTGTCTGTACCCTGAGGCTGTACCTATGCAGAACAAACACTTTTCCAGCTCCACAAGAACCAGAAACTCTTCGCCGACTCTTCCACTCACTTGGCTTATTTTTCTTAGTTGCTATTTTGCTAATGCTGTTAATATTGTCTTATAGATTGTAAATGCCGTATTGATCTGTTCATCATATAGCATGAATTTTGCTGTGGCTGCGATGTTTAGCGTATTAATAACGTTCTACAAACTGTAGTGGTTTTATTGATTGTTAATTATTTTATACGACTTATGCTGCATGGCATAGAATCACAGATTTGTAGAGATGGAAGGGACCATGAGGGTCATTTAATCCAACTTCTGGGAATCTTTAGCCCACCGTGGGTCTCGAACGCATCACCCTGAGGTCAAGAGTCTTCTTGTTGTTGTTGTTGTTTAGTTGTTTAGTCGTGTCCGACTCTTCGTGACCCCATGGACCAGAGCACGCCAGGCACTTCTGTCTTCCACTGCCTCCTGCAGTTTGGTCAAACTCATGCTGGTAGCTTTGAGAACACTGTCCAACCATCTCGTCCTCTGTCGTCCCCTTCTCCTTGTGCCCTCCATCTTTCCCAGCATCAGTGTCTTTTCCAAGGAGTCTTCTCTTCTCGTGAGGTGGCCACAGTATTGGAGCCTCAGCTTCAGGATCTGTCCTTCCAGAGAGCACTCAGGGCTGATTTCCTTCAGAATGGATCGGTTGGATCTTCTTGCAGTCCATGGGACTCTCCAGGGTCTCCTCCCGCACCATAATTCAAAAGCATCCATTCTTTGGCGATCAGCCTTCTTTATGGTCCAGCTCTCACTTCCATACATCACTACTGGGAAAACTATAGCTTTAACTATACGGGCCTTTGTTGGCAAGGTGATGTCTCTGCTTTTTAAGATGCTGTCTAGGTTTGTCATTGCTTTTCTCCCAAGAAGCAGGCATCTTTTAATTTCGTGGCTGCTGTCACCATCTGCAGTGATCATGGAGCCCAAGAAAGTAAAATCTCTCACTGCCTCCATTTCTTCCCCTTCTATTTGCCAGGAGGTGATGGGACCAGTGGCCATGATCTTCGTTTTTTTGATGTTGAGCTATGCTCTACTAACTGAGCTATCTGTTCTGGGATATCTGATGTTCTGTTCTCTTAGTGTTATTTACTGTTTGTACGCTACTTTGAGATGCATTTGAATGAAAAGCAGCATAGGAATAGAATCAATCAAATCACTCTCTCTCTCATTCTCTCAGAATAGTATCATCCACGCAGCCTATTTAGGGAATTGACTTGTTGAAAATCATTAATTCCTTCTCCAAGGTTCAGCCTCCCTCCTCGCCAAGACCTTTAGAAGTCAGCTCTCTGAGTGCAGGGCTTTTTTTCTGGGGGGTGGGACGCAGGGGTACGCATACCCCTAAACATTTTGTGAATCTTTGTACTTTTGTCCATTTACTGTATTAGGTAAAGAGACCCCTGACCGTTAAGTCCAGTCGTGGCCGACTCTGGGGTTGCGGTGCTTATCTCGCTTTATTGGCCGTGGGAGCTGGCGTACAGCTTCTGGGTCATGTGGCCAGCATGACTAAGCCGCTTCTGGTGAACCAGAGCAGCGCACGGAAACGCCATTTACCTTCCCGCTGGAGTGGTACCTATTTATCTACTTGCACTTTGACATGCTTTTGAACTGCTAGGTTGGCAGGAGCAGGGACCGAGCAACAGGAGCTCACCCTGTCGCGGGGATTTGAATCGCCAACCTTCTGATCGGCAAGTCCTAGGCTCTGTGGTTTAACCCACAGCGCCACCCGCATCCCTCCACTGTATTTATTTTCCCCAATTTGAACTATAAAATGGTGGTTTTCTTTAGTCAAAATGAGAGCACCCCTAAACATATTTTTTTGGGGGGAGCACTGTCTGAGTGGAAGGCAGACAATTCTCATCCCTAAACACACAGGTAAATCCAGGTGTACAGGTGTGCTAGGGAGCCATGCCATGCAAAGACCTGCTGAGCGGTATTTTGAAGGACCATTCCGGTCTGTGTTTGTCTTACAAAAGCACTGAATTTAGCTTCACAACAATGGAGGGAAAGCTATGATAAAATAAACAAGAAGGTCATGTTTGAACTAAGCCATAAAACTTGGCTTATGCAACGTGCCAATGCACACAGTATGGGTACTCCCACTTTGCTCTAATCTCTGTGTGAGCAGGTCATGTCATGTCCCGACCTGGGATTGCACTTTGCTTTCTCCTATCAAACCACAATTGCTAGCCAGCTGGGTGCAAGCTGCAGGCTCCTAGACTTTCCTTCCCTCCACAAATTCTCCCATTCTGTCTCAGCGCTAACCACGGTGTAGCCACTTCTGCAATAAGGAGCACTATGAACTGTGGTTAGCTTTAACCAGGATCCGCCAACCAGGGTTCAAGCCCCAAGTTAAGCCCCACCCCATCCCATCTTAATGCTAACCAGGGTGAAGTTCATGTCTGCAGGAAGGAGAACAGTAAACCATGGTTAGCTTTAACAAGGATTCAACAACCAGGGTTCAAGCCCCAAGTTAAGCCCCACCCCATCCCTCAATGCTAACCAGGGTGAAGTTCATGCCTGCAGGAAGGAGAATAGTAAACCATGGTTAGCTTTAACCAGGGTTCACCAACCAGGGTTCAACCCCTGGGTACAGCCCCCTCCACTCAGCACACAGCACTGACACACAAATCTTGCCCTCAGTGACGAGAAAGAAACAAGCAACTACTCACTGACTCTTTCGGCTCTTGCAAACTGCCCAGACACCAACCAAGACAGGGCGGTGACAGCCGCAAGGGCTCCTATGTGCAGAAAAGGCGCTGTTGCCTAGGAAAAAGAGAGCAGGGAACGGTGACGTGCGCAATGATTCCTACATGACTTTTCCAACTGCTTTCATTGGCTATATGAAAATGGGGTACCCTGAATGGGGTAACTGTGCCCCTGAAGGACCAGGTGTGCAGCCTGGGAGTCATTTTGGACTCACAGCTGTCCATGGAGGCGCAGGGCAGTTCTGTGTCCAGGGCGGCTGTCTACCAGCTCCATCTGGTACGCAGGATGAGACCCTTCCTGCCCGCAGACTGTCTCGCCAGAGTGGTGCATGCTCTGGTTATCTCCCGCTTGGACTGCTGCAATGCGCTCTACGTGGGGCTACCTTTGTAGGTGACTCAGAAACTGCAATTAATCCAGAATGCGGCAGCTAGACTGGTGACTAGGAGCGGCCGCCGAGACCACATAACACCGGTCCTGAAAGACCTACATGGGCTCCCAGTACATTTCCGAGCACAATTCAAAGTGTTGGTGCTGACCTTGAAAGCCCTAAATGGCCTCAGTCCTGTATACCTGAAGGAGCGTCTCCACCCCCATCGTCCAGCCCAGACACTGAGGTCCAGCTCCGAGGGCCTTCTGGTGGTTCCCTCATGGCAAGAAGTGAGGTTCGTGGTGCCCGCCCTGTGGAATGCCCTCCCATCGGATGTCAAGGAAATAAGCAGCTATCTTATTTTTGAAAGACATCTGAAGGCAGCCCTGTTTAGGGAAGTTTTTAATATTTAATGCTGTATTGTTTTTAACACTCGATTGGGAGCCGCCCAGAGTGGCTGGGGAAACTCAGCCAGATGGGCGTGGTATTATTATTATTATTATTATTATTATTATTATTATTATTAAAGAATTCTGGGAACTGAGGAGGCCTTCCTTCAAGAATCTGAAGCAGAAGGTGCAGGAGAACCGGCTTCCACAAAATGAAAAGAGTTGAAAAACGACAAGGAAGCAGATTTCAATAGAAACTTCCTAACAGGTAACTAGGGACCAGCCTGCCGCAGGAGGCGGTTGGCTATCAATCAGTGGGGAAAATTCAGCAGATGCTTGGAGGCTACTTGCCCAGGCTGCTGCAACTGAAACCTTAAATGATCAGGGAGCTGGCCTCCAAAGTCCCTTCTAACTTTGATTCGACGTCTCTGCAGGATCTGTTGCTCTGAGTCTGCCTTCGTCCAATCAGGCTGGGGTTGGTCTAGATGACCCAATGGGTTCCCTTCCAACTCTACAATTCTGTGAGGCCATTTCACAGCTCAAGGACACGTCTCTGGCCAGGCCAACGCACTGGAGCACATAGTGGCACCAACGAAGGCCGTGGCCCAGGAAAGTCCGAAGAAGTGCCGGATTTACGTACACTGGATGCTCTGGTTGCAAACATGATCCGTGCGGGATGCACGTTCACAACCCGCAACGTTCGCAACCCGCCGTGGCGCGTCTGCACGCGCGCGGGTTGCAATTTGGCACTTCTGCGCATACGCGATTTAGTGCTTCTGCGCATGCGCAACCCCCGAAACCCAGATGTAACCCATTCCTGTACTTCCAGGTTTCGGCAGTGCGCAACCCCAAAAAAACACAACCTGAAGGGTCTGTAACCCGAGGTATGACTGTATAAGCTAAACAAGCCATAGATCAGGGCCCTACTCTCTTGTGGCCCCCAAAAAATTAAAGGGAAAAACAAACTGGAGGTACATTTCCAAAATATAAAATAAAAAATAAATAAAATAAAACCTACATGCAGCAACAGTGTTTTGCTCCTGTGATGTAAGTCATGGGCCCCGCCTGCTCCCTAAAACATCACTGGTTTGCTCCTTTCTATATACAGGGTGCCTAAATTCTGCTATTTATAATTATTAGTAGTTTGCATCCTATATTTACACCTATTATTATTTCATGTTATAGCAAGTTTCTAGAGACTAGATTATGAGTCTTTGTAAATTGTGTTTCTAAAGGAACTTTTGTTATTGCCAAATGCCAATGTCTTTGCATTATTAAAGGTAAAGGTAAAGGTACCCCTGCCCGTACAGGCCAGTCTTGACAGACTCTAGGGTTGTGCGCCCATCTCACTTAAGAGGCCGGGGGCCAGTGCTGTCCGGAGACACTTCCGGGTCACGTGGCCAGCGTGACAAAGCTGCATCTGGCGAGCCAGCGCAGCACACGGAAACGCCGTTTACCTTCCCGCTAGTAAGCGGTCCCTATTTATCTACTTGCACCCGGGAGTGCTTTCGAACTGCTAGGTTGGCAGGCGCTGGGACTGAGCAACGGGAGCGCACCCCGCCACGGGGATTCGAACCGCCGACCTTTCGATCGGCAAGCCCTAGGCAATGAGGTTTTTACCCACAGCGCCACCCGCGTCCCTTTTGCATTATTAAGTTTGTTATAAATAAAAAGTCATTTTAAGGTAGAGCTTAATAATTATTTCACTATTAATACACTTCTTCTTAATTGTATTTCACTATTAATATACTTCTTCTTAATTGTATTTCAGTTCAACAATTACTCTGATAAAATATGTATTTTGTTATGTGCAAATGGCTTTAGATACCTATTAGGCCCACAAATTACCATATAGCATATATTCAACACAAAAAACAGCGACCATTTGTTGTTGACAAAGGACGGCTGGACATATAAAGGGCCCTGTTACCTTCAGCAGTTTAGGGCCTCATCAAACCTAAATCCGGCCCTGATCCGGAGGGCTATTTAGAGAAGGCGGAAGAACTATGGTTGGCTCCTGCCTTCTGACATGACACTTACCTGCAAGGATATGGCAACCATGCTCCACTCATCATCCCATAGCTGGGCTATAGAGCACATGGTGACAACGGTCGTTATCAAGGTGGTTATCAACCCAATCTGCAAGGCAAGAAAAGGCCAGAGATTTCATTGTATTTCTTTCCCTCTGGCGCTGAAAGGAAGCTCTAATCAAAGCTCAGGCACTCTTTGCATCTGAGAAAGGAGTCGAGCCAGCGTGGAAGGCCAGCCCGCCCTCTACTTCACAAACACCTGCTTTTGACAATCAAACCGTAGCTTTAAACTGAGGGGTTGGTCTGGATGACCCTCAGGTCCCTTCCAGCTCTGCAAATATTATGGTTTTAACTAAGCGAGCAGAGACACAATCCTGTTTCAAGAGCCAGGGATAAATTTGAAGCAGAAAGCGCTCCATTTCGCTGGGTTTTTCTTCGTCGCAGGCAGAGGAGATACAGGCTGCTGGGATTGTCTCTCTCGCTCTCTTCTCTTTTCTTAAAAAAGGGATTTAGATTAATCCCCAGAACTGACCGATGTGGAGGGTCTCAAAAGGAGCTTGAATGGCAAAGCACTAATAACACATTTCACTGTGACGGGCGTAACGTAATGAGATTCACTTCGCCGTAGATTGCAATCGCTGGAAGGGCGCAGCGCAGTGAACGTACTGGAGAATCTCTCTCTTGCGGCCTCCCCCCCCCCCGCCCAAATCACTCATAAGACTAAAAGGCAGCAATAGCCAAGCTATTCCTTTATCTCATCTACCGCTGCGACCCAGGTTCCTATTGTGAAGCCAATGCGGTTTCATTTGGAG